ACTGCCTGGTCAGAGAGGTAAACAAGTGGTTCCAACACATTCACCTTTATATATATCTCCATTTCAAAAGCAGTAAGCAACTCAAAAGCACCTTTCAGTTTGTGGCCTTCATCAGGTTCACCCATGAAGGCCAGAGGCTCAATGCATTGGTCTGACAATAAAATTGTTCTTTCTACAAGTGTCACTGGAGTTTTAACCTCTTCAGACTTTTTTCCTTTTCCCCACATTAGAAGTTAGTGAGGTTGCACCAGAATTCCCTACTCGGATTCTACAAAACTGCAAAGAAGCCATTAGGTTTATGGGGAAAACTATCAATGTTTTGCAACACAGCACTTTTAAACAAAAACAGACCACCATAACCTCACAGTGTGTTCCATCTAAAAACAACAGAGCATGTGTTCTTAACATTACCTTCTCTCTCTCTGCTTGATTAGAACCAGTCAGTGGTGGTGGCAGATTTTGGACTAGCCAGGCTGGTGATGGAGGAGAGGAATCAGAGTAGAACATCTTCTATGGAGCGGCCTGTGAAGGGGACATTATCAGAGCTCCGCAGGCCTGACCGCAGGAAGCGGTACACTGTGGTAGGAAACCCCTACTGGATGGCCCCTGAGATGATCCATGGTGAGTACACAAGATTTCAGGCTATCATAAAAATGTAACATTTCTGAACAGTGCTCACTAACCTCAACTTTCCTCTTAATACCATAAGTGTGGTAAAATATGCAAAAAGGGGGGAAACTGTGTAGGAGATCTGTTATTGCCCTAAGGTCTAATATTCTGCATGGATCTCCAGCATGGATCAGTAAAGATGTGCTTCTCATTTTCTAAACTTTCCTCTGCGCCTCTCAGGAAAAACCTATGATGAACGGGTGGACATCTTTTCCTTTGGTATCATGATATGTGAGGTAAGAGCACCTAGGAAGAGTAAAATATACCTACAAATATTATGCACTTGATTTCTAAGAATTCAAAAGATGTGGTATTTAATGAGTTTAAGTGTTGTGTAAATGTCAAACAAACAAACCTATATTTTCCATATTTTATCCTTATTTTTCTATTAATCAAGCATCTGCGATTCAATTTCAAAGCTAAGTATGTACAGTGTCTTTCTCTGCCTCTCTTCAGATAATAGGTAGAGTGAATGCCGACCCTGACTACCTTCCCCGGACGAATGACTTTGGGCTAAATGTAGCTGGTTTCCTGCAGCAGTACCATCCTCCAGAGTGCCCCTCAGCCTTCCTGCCGTTGGCTGTCCTCTGCTGTGACATGGATGCTGATAAACGGTATGACTTCACGACTCCAGCACAACTGCAGACCTAAATTTCTATAAGGCAAAATATAAGATATATGTAAAAAATATTGCACAGTTAGCATTTTGTTTCTAACACACACTTTAATTTTTCACTTCTAACAGAACAACCACATGGCATAACCACTTAAAGAGCAATTTATAGGGTGTGTTTATAATTGGTGGTATGTCAATCTATTTTGACTCTCTGTAATGTCATCACTTGACAATGTTAAAAGTGCAGTGGAAAACAAATATAAATATTGTATTTGTCTACTTCTGTCATAAAGTCATTCTCTGGTTAGTTGATGCAACAAGTATAAAGTGTACTGCATCATAATCACTTATGTAGGGAGGCTACACACAGCTTTTAGATTTTATGCAGGGCTCTCGCACCCAAACAGTGAATACCGTACCAAGCAGTGCATTACACAAACTAAGACAGTTCAGAATACTCTGCTAAATATTTAGTCAATACACAACCGCAGTAAAGCATGCAATGCCCTACACCCTATCATTACTATAACTCTTTGTCTTTCACTCTTCCAGTACGTCTTTTTCAAAGCTGGAGGAGTGGCTGGAGAACCTGATGATGCACCTGGACATTGGTCTACCTTTGCTCTCTGAGTTAGAGCAGCTCCGTAGAGCCTTCTGGGAGAATCACAACCACCAAAACCCCTCTCACAACCAGGACAACACCCAGAATCCTCACGAGCAAACACACTGTTCCCAGCCACAACAACAAAGCCCTGACCCTAAGCGACGTTCAGACGATTCAAATAACCACACAGAGCCTAATCGCCTCACTCAAAGCCAAGACCAAAACAGCACACCTGACAGCCATTCGGATGGACAGCAACACACATGTAACAATCATGACATGAGGACTGAGCACGACCACTCCTGTTTGAACAGAGAATGTACGAACTGCTCACAAGACAAGAGCCAGTGTTGCAGGTCTTCAAGCACAGACTCAGGCAAGAATGGCTCTGAAACCTGTGAACATAATAACCTCTCAGGACAAGCAAAAGTCCAGCACCAGCCCTCACAACCACTGCAGGTCAACAGGTCACTGCTAGGCCAGTCTAACAGGCACAGGGGGACATGCAGAGCGCTGTGGGACAGATCTACAGAGGACAGCTCTTTTCTCTAAATGATGGCCAAAAAATTGATTGGCCAAGACAGGACACATCTACAAAGCCAAGTTTTGAAGGATAAAACACATCATGACCACACTGGTGTCTTCTCAAACAATTGGGAAAGCACTAAAAGAATCAGCAATATGTGGAGGACTAATGCATAGAAAACCAGCGAACATTAAACCAATGAATACAGATTCATACGGGATATTTTACATGAGAGTTAAATTTCACCACAGCTTGATAACAATTGCCTAGCACATTACATTTGCCTCATGTGAACCAGTATTTATAAGGGTTCAACTAGAGCTCGACCGATGCAGGATTTAGTTGATGCCAATATTGACAATTTGGAGTTCAATATGAAATACTATAGTAGCATATTGGCTGTAAGAAACAAATATTTTTGATAAGGATTCTTTAAATTCCCCCAAATCTGTCAGTGCTCTCTGATGGACAATCTACAACATTTTTTCTAAATGACCTTAAACATATCTTTCGCATTTCTGAATTACAATTTCTCTTTACTTATTGGCCAACATCTAAAGAATGATGATATTAGTACATCTGTCATAAGCTAAAACTAGCCGGCCAATTTATCGGTTGGGCTCTGGTATCAACTTATTCCATAAGCTGTGAAACACTTGGCACTTTATACTTTAAGCTACATTGCATGGGTCACTTATTTATCAGAATGTCTTATGTATTTTCTGTTAAACATGTCCAGACCACATCCAACACACTGAGCCGTGAACATATAAAACTACAACTGTAGTTAACAATAAAACAACTGTAAATTCATATGGCTAAATTTGAATCACTATCATCAAAGGGCTATTATTTAAGATGTACATTTGTGGTATTTTGATCATTCACACAGAAAATCATCATTATTAATAACTTTGAATATCAATTATTATGAACAATAATAATGATAAAACAGAAAACCAAGTATCAAACTCTCACCTCCTGTACTTGTAGGAAGCTAATTAAGCTCCTTTGTAAGTAGTCAACTTAGTTAGCCTTATGTTTGTGGCTCTCATGTGACGCAGCTAACCTACTAGCTTCTTACTCAATGTGGTTATATGTGTATTTTATAGTTATTTTTCATTATATTGCATTTTTATACACATACAAAAATGAACCAGAAACCTTTTCAGTACAGAGAGCGAGAGTTGGCATTAGCACAGCCACCAACACTGTGTCAGCCACTGTCATTTTCAAGCTAGCAAACAACATAAACAATTACGCTTACCGCTCCGATACGGCTTCTAGTCTCCGCTTTTTGGTGCACAACAAACTCCTCACTTTTCAACAAACTCCTGAGTCTGACTGAGGTTCAAACGTGTGGCTGAGTCTCTCCTACGTTTCCTCCTTTTACCATCTTGGTACACTTCGCTGTTTCACCTGTCTACCTAGCGCAAGGTGGGCGGGGCACAAGGCCTGATCCAGAACTGATCCAGTGGATGTTCTTCCAGCCCCATTTTCTTTCAACTTTTTATGTGGGGAAACCATGTTAAACACAAACATAAACAATACTAATCATAGCAGAGTATTTTTACATAGTTTAAAACATGTCGGGAGAGTAACTTTAGGATAGTTCGGTGTCTAGTGGCTGCAACGGATTCTAACGGTAGCAAACAAATGTCAAAACCTAGCTAATTGTAGCATTAGCTAACTTTACATTAAAATTTAAAACTCACATATGAAGCATCCACGTCTAACTCGTTCATTTGTGTGGACAGTGTATAGCATATAATCATACTCATACTTTTCACCAAAACACCAAAACAAGCTCCTAGTATGGATAATTGATATTAACCATCGTTACCACTGATAAGGTCATCATGGACCATCGTTAGCACACCTTACACAGAACCATAGACTGCACAGAACTTAAAGGAAAAGCCAAAAGACTTTTTTTTTCACCTGTCATCCAGCCACTACGGAAGCGTAATGGAATTACGTAAGAAAAAAATCTGCTTGTTTTTCTGAATTAACGAGATCATATCTCTATCCATCATTTACTTGAAATTAAATCTGTGTGAAGGGTGAAGAGCCCGTTTGTGCTTTCCAGAGTAATAAAATGAATTGCACAACCTGGAGCTAGAATATAGCCAATAGTAGGTATGGGTATAATATTGATTAGGCTATGACTATAATAATGATTATTATTATTATTATTATTTTATTATTATTATTATCATTATTATTATTATTATTATTATTATTATTATTATTATTATTATTATTATTATTATTATTATTATTACTACTACTTCTAGTAGTAGCAGGCTAGTACTAATAGTAGTGTAGTAATATCATCCTGCACTGTAGACATTGGGGAATATCAGCCTGTCCAGTTCCTTTGTCTCCCGCATACTTAAAACCACGTCAGAGTGTCAACACTGAGCGGGCTGCACCCTGAGCTCAGTCTATAGCCTAATGCACGGACCCACGCACCATATGTCTCTTCACATTTAATAGTTCTCGTATAGGTTGGCATCAGTAACATTGTAATTCATCCATTTTCTGCCTCTGACCCGGGGACCTTCTGAGAAGCCGGCAGCAACATGGAGCACATGTCTTCTCCGGTCAGGTTCCGCAGCAATAAAAAAGGTACGTCTACAACAATTACACACACCGAGGCTGCGTCATTAAATGAAGTTACCAGTAGTTTGTGGAATACATCACCATTGCAGCCTGTAGTATCCCTGCAGGGATGTGTGTGAACTCTGTGAAGTGAGGGATGAAATGTTGTTACACGCCATTAAGTGTTCATTTCTACTGGTTTAAACTTATAGTGCTGCATTTTATTCAAAGGTTTTATTTACTGATATCAGGAGGGCATTGGTTTTTAAATCTACATACTTTTTTAAATTTAAATTTTGTCTTTTATTTATTGTGTGAAGACTGATTGCCATTATCTTCTGTTCTCAATATTCAGCTTATGCATCAAGTTCTTCGTTTATATTTTATTTCTTTTTTTTCTTTGTTTCTGAACTACCCACCCCCCCATTTATTTATGCTGTCATCTCAAAAAAGCTGGAACTTTCTCAGAAAAAGAGGTATGACAAATTTATAGAGTAATCTTTAATGATAGTGTTTATAGCTTGTATGTGTGTGTTTGTGTGTTTGTGTTTAAGAGTTAAATCTCCAACCCCCCCCCCCCATCCTGTGAGAGCATTAGAAGCTGGGTTAAGCCTGCTGCAAAGCTTTGTGGGTAATGAGAGCTGACAGGTACAGGCAGCAGTGTGGGCTATGCTGTTCTGCTGTCTTTAGACCAGGTCAGAAGGATGATGTGAGCACAGTGTGAGGCCGGGAGAGAGATTGTGAATCTCCTGTAAAGCAGGTGTGGAGGTTTGGCTGTTGTAGCTCCGCAGAGCAGAGTCACTCTGTGGGAAAGCAGGTTTGGACTGAGGTGCTGTAATAATAGTGAGAGCACAAATTCTTTTTCATCCGTTTGCTTTGTGTACATAAGCTCCACACTGAAATATGCTCCTGAAACAAAAGGAAGTTAACATATCCAGCTTGATCCTGCTGTTCACTAACCTCGAGCTCCAGACTGTCTGCTGTCTGTATCTCCAGCCTTCCTGGACAGATGGGTGGGGACCTCTGTAATGGTTTAATTGGATCACAGGTCAGGACTAATCAGTGAAGAAAGGGCGTAGTTAGCCACTATAACAGAAGACACATGCTCATCATGTCATGTTTGGAGACTGCATGACTCAAACTGTGGCCTCCAGCAGCCAGGTCATACTTGTAGTGCTATCTAAATAGTAATATACATACATACATTAAAGAAATTTATATTTATAAGACCCAAGACCCAAAATCAAAGTGGGATTTTTTGACTGTTCTGTCTGGAATAATAATCCACTCACTATGGTTTTCTCTCATTATCAAGTTTACTTAGCCTAACTGCTGATTTCAAGGTTTTTGTGCTCTTGTCAGCTTTCTGTCCTTCAGCTTGGACTCAACAGTAAAATTATCTTGTGTTCAGAGCCCCACGACTGGAGCAGCATTGTTTTTGTAATAAATCAAGGGTGTGACATTTCCTTCAGCTCTCCAGTCCTTGGCTTTGTTTCACCGGACTGAAAGTAGAGTACATTGAAATGGATTGCAGGACAAGACTCTGGTCAGTCAGGGCTTGTTCATCCACAGCCGATAATTGGAAAATAAATGTCAAATGAAGGAGCCTAAAAAGGAAAATGGAAGTTTTTCTTTTAAATGTCAACCGTCAAATATTTAGTTTTATTGTGCCATTGTTTTTCAAAGCAAAGCAGTAAATAGGAAAAATCACTTCCCTTTAAGTTTTGATTAAAAGTGAGATATATTCTTGAGACTTTTAATTGTCCATATAAAACCATGTGTAACTCTGCTGCCTCCTGTCCCAGCTGTCTAGTCTGTCCATCGAGGACCAGGAGGACACTCAGTTTCCTTTCGCCATGAGGGATCTGCCTCCTGTCTCACCGGGTCACCAGGCACCAGTCAACCGTGAGGAAGAGGGCACTGGGACAGCAACCAACGGGAGACTCCCCAGCCTTCCCGGGACTCCCCCTCTGCACCGTCCCATCCCCTGCCTCCTTGGATCTCCGATAGTCCCTCACAGACCAAATCGCGTGGGAGTGGACGCAGAGTTTCAGCCCCTGCCCCTGAGGAGGCAGCTCGTGTCTCAGGTGTCTCTGGACTCACCGCTCAGCCCGGCCTCTCGTCCACGCAGTCCATGGGGACGGTTTGACCCCTATGACTCTCCAGAGGTGTGTTTCTGTGTGCTTGTGTGTGTACATCTTTATCATTAGTGTGTGTGTGTGTTATTGTCTGTTAGTGTCTATTGTCTAGTCGTTTGCTTTTGTGATGTTTTTCTTCAGTGTTTGGAATTTGAAAAGATGATTAGCCAAGTGAAGTAATAGTACTGCGTGCTGCTATTGTATGTATGATGACCATAGCAACATTTGGTCAAATGCCAATTATCTATCAGTCAGATATTGACAAGTAGCAAGTCAAACGATGAGACAGACTTTTGATTCAACAACCAAATTTCTTCGAAAAGACCACATACTTTATTTCCTAGTATATCTCCAGAACGTTACCCATACTGCCAAATATAGACACATTTTCTCTTCTTTGCACCTTCTTACAGCTGCTTCACATTCACCTGCAAAGTACGGAGTTAGTTAATACAGAGTTCAGACGTCAGCTTTCAAGTTGAAAACAGAGCTGCACATCGAAGTGGTTAACAAGTGTTAGACCAGACACACCACCTCTGTTCTGTCTCCAAAGTTCATTTGTGCTGAGCTGTGAAGACAGTTTCCCCTGATGCAACTGGGTGAGAGGGAACATAAGACCAACAATTTAATATGTATTGTACCAGATTTAGCTATTTGCTAATTTACAAAAGTTCGGAAATCTACACAAATCTGCACAGAGTATCACCTATTAAGTCCTTACATATAAACAATAGGCACATAAATCTATTTTATGTTTGTGTTTTCTGTCTGCAGGATCAGGACAAGGAGTATGTGGGTTTTGCCACATTGCCCAACCAGGTTCATAGAAAAACAGTGAAGAAAGGTTTCACATTTACACTCATGGTGGCGGGTGAGTCCCTTATGCTTGCTTACTGGGAAACTCTTACAAGTGTGATTCAGGCTGTTATCATGACTGAATACACCAACAAATAAAAAACACATAACATCAGAGCTGATCAACAAACCGACACAATGCTGAGAAATATCAGTGTAGCTCGGAGACGTTACTGCTCTGAATTCTACATGTGTCAACCATGACTGAAACATCTATGGCTGATTCGTGGGAGTATGTTGTTGTGTCATCTTGTTTTAACAGTAAACAGGTACTTCTTTTTTTTTGACAAAGGTTTTGCAACTATATGTGTTGAAATGAATTACAAGCATTGCACAGTTGAATGTGATAGTTTACTCATACTACATCTCTCTCTCTCTCTCTCTCTCTCTCTCTCTCTCTCTCTCTCTGTAGGAGAGTCTGGCCTCGGTAAATCCACACTAATCAACAGTTTGTTCCTCACGGACCTCTACAAAGACAGAAAGGTTCCTAATGCAGAGGGTGAGATTACATGTTATTTATTTACACATGGTGTGTGTGTGTAAATGAGGTAAGTAAGAGGCTGGAATCAGACTACAGTCCTGTAGATGTTTATGGTCTGTATAGAACGAAAGTACATCATGAACTGTCATTTTTCTTGTGCAAAAATGTGATGCCGCCACCTCTCTCTCTGCCTGTGAAGAGAGTGTGTTCTTGCACGCGTTTGTACACACTTGTCGCCTGTGTAGCTTCAGTGACGTTGCACCTGTGCGTGTGTCTGCAGAACGGATCAATCAAACAGTCGACATCGTCAAACACACTATTAGCATTGAGGAGAAAGGAATCAAATTGAGGCTCAGCATCATAGACACGCCAGGGTTCGGAGACGCCATCGACAACACAGAAAGGTGAGGTCAGCACTGTTCTCCTCCACTCCTTGACCCAGATATGACACCGTGCTGTCCTGGTGGCAATGCTGCTCTATTGAACAGGCTTCAAGGTCATGAACCTCAACTCATGGCCTCACAAGCACACTAAATATGCTTTTATTTTGAATTAGCTCATGTCAGTCCTCGGTCACGGCTGTTGTTTCACTCTGTCTGATTTTATGTGTTTGCATCAGCTGGAAGCAAATCGAAGACTACATCGACCAGCAGTTTGAACAGTACTTCAGAGATGAGAGCGGCTTGAACAGAAGGAACATCCAGGACAACAGAGTTCATTGCTGTCTCTACTTCATCTCTCCATTTGGCCACGGGTACACTGACAACACTTTACTTCTGCACATGAAGCTAAAGCAGTACAACAGCACTACAACAGCCTCATGTAAAAAAGTTGCTCAATATCTTTTGGGCTTATTTCTGTATGTGTGCATTCACACACACATACGTGTGTTTTCCTCCCCTCAGTCTTCGACCTCTAGATGTGGAGTGTATGAGGGCTTTGCATGAAAAAGTCAACATAGTTCCCATATTGGCCAAAGCGGACAGCCTGACAGAAGCAGAGGTCTGCAGAAAGAAGATGAAGGTATGAGATCATAGACAACAGACAAACTGAAATGTTGACCTGATGATGGCCCCAGATGAAAAGTTGGGGGGGGTGATCACCAAAGTTATTTCAGTTCATCCTGAATGAGTGTGTGAACCAAATGTCATGGCAATCCAACAAATAGCTGTTGCATATGACTCAAAAACACAAATGTGAACTTTGTGGAAAATTCAGGGGAATTCCAAAGCGAGTAGCATTCATCCTCCCTCTGGCAGTGACATGGGAATGTCTGTTCAAAATTCAATAGAAATCTAAGCTGATGTTTCTTGAGATATTTCTGTCTTGACCAAACTGACCAACATGTCCATCCCTATAGCCACAAGCCAGAAAACAGTGTGGCTGAAAACAGAACGGACAAAAACAAAATCCATCTCAACAAAGATCAGTCATTGAACGTGAATTAAAGACATTTGGAAGCTCCGGAAAAGAGACTTAAAATCAGCATACAACCTAATAACACACATTTGTAATTGTGTTTGAAATTAGTTTTTTCAGGGAGAGTCAGTTACTGAGGCCCTCTTATCTCTGTAGAGAGAGAAGTTCTCTCCATCTCTCACAATATCCTTTCAATGTGTCCACGCGCTCCAGATCAGAGAGGACATCAGGCAGTTTGGGATCAACATCTACCAGTTTCCCGAGTGCGATTCAGATGAAGATGAAGACTTCCAGAGACAGGACCAGCTGCTGAAGGTTCTTCAGTTTCATTTCTCATGGTTGAAATGTGCCGTTTCATCCGCTTCAAGTCTGACAACGTCATGGTTTCTGCCTCTCTCTGCAGGACAGCATCCCGTTTGCAGTAATCGGGAGTAATGTTCAAATGGAGAGTAAAGGTCGCAAGTTCAGGGGTCGTGTCTATCCCTGGGGTGTGGTAGAAGGTATTAGACACAAATACACAGTTTTTTTGTTTGTTTCTAGTTAACCTTTACTGTGGTTTCGGCATACTGTATGTAATAGTTTTATCAATAGTTAGATAGTTTCGGTTCACTATCAGTTAATTTATTATTGTCTGTTTTTAGCCACTTTTACAAGTTGTTGTGTTTGACAACAAAGTAAAACCCAGCGTGACTCAGTAACATGTTGTCGTTGCATGGTCAGTGGAGAACCCGGCTCACTCCGACTTCCTGCTGCTGAGGAACATGCTGGTGAGGACGCACATGCAGGATCTGAAGGATGTGACGCGGGAAACGCACTACGAAAACTACAGAGCACAGTGCATCCAGAACATGACGCGCATGGTGGTGCAGGAGAGGAAACGCAGGTGGGTGGAGGCAGGATGCACATGGTCACAGTTTGACTGAGTCAGGAAAATTATGTCTCTGCATTTGCTCATTTGTGAGCATCATCAAGTTTAAAACGGGCAATGATAAATATTTACCTCTTACATTCGAATTGCAACTTTATTTTTATTGATATTTTCAGGCAAAAAGAAGGGTTGACAAGGGCCACATTAAACTCGAACAGAAAGAGGGTCTTTCAGTGACATGTAATGGGTTACTTCTTACAGGCACATATATTTTTACACATTGAAGCAGCCAGGAGTGTTGAGTGTAAAGATGAGGTTGTCTGGGACTTTGAGCAGGTATAATGTAACAGTCACCTTTATTATTTCTTCAGCAATTTCTTGCCAATATAGAAAATTAAAGGGAAGGCCCAAAAAACATGAAAATGTGGAGCCCCCTTTTTCTTTTTTTTCCTTTTTTCCTTTTTTTAAATCACCACATTTAGCATTCACTATATCCCTGATAACCTCTTTGAGAACATTTCAATTTACAGGTTTATTTGCAGTCTTTTGTTGCTGGTTTTATCTCTAAACAGAAAATATAAATCATGAATTAATTCCATTAAAAATATAGAAACTTAAGTCATGATATAAAGTAACTGCTAACAACTTGAGCATAACTAATAACCTTATAGTGCAAGGTTGAAACAACAAAAAAACTCGCATTACACTCAGTCAAACAGCTGTGACCAGGAGAGCCCAGGGTTGGGAGCCCACCTGAAGTCGATCCTTCATATAACCTCTGATTCCTCCGGCCCCTCCTCCTTCCTGCTTCTCCCGAGGCAGCTCCTCCTCTAAACCTGCTCTTCACAACAATATTCTTTTAGAGGTTTCAAGACATTTTAAAATACAATACGGGCTCTTGAAAATAAAAAGTACAATAGATGTTCACACATATTTTCTTCTTTGCATGTATGTGGATGTGTGTGAATATGGCTTTTAGTTTGCGTGAGAAGCATCGAGACGGGAGCGAGGCAGATTTTCCTCTGCCACTGGCCGTCGTCGACGCTGAGAAGGAAAGACTCATCTTCGAGAAAGATGAAGAGGTACATCTCTCTCACTCACTCACTCGTCCACTCACTCACTTACAACAGTAATCACCACTCACTTTATTCATTTATCCCTCTCTGCAGCTGAGGAGGATGCAGGAGGTGCTGGAGAGGATTCAGGAGCAGATGCAGAGAGGTGGCTGCTGATTCTCCCATAATTCCCCGGGAGAGGAGACAAACGAGGAGCACCCAGGAACACAGATGACGCCCTGTGTATAAAATCAGATGTTAAAACAGTTGGAACGTGTATGAAAAGGAAATGAGCCATATTGCATTCAGGCCCTTGTCTGATTGCAGTTTCCCAGGAAAACGTACCGTGTGTGAGGCTGGAACCAGTGATGTCAACGTTTCTGTGGGTCTACACACAGGAGAGGGTTATGAGTAATTGTAGGCTGCCCAGGCTTGCAGAGGAGCCAACACTCCCAAATTCCAACAGTGTGTCCTGTTCTTCAAACATGATTTAAATAATTCAGGCTAAAATAATCCTGTTAATTCTCCTACATGTCATTTGTTTCTTTGAAAGCAGTTTGAGGATTGTTCTGTTATTCCTAGATGAAGTTATCTTGTGCTCACGCTCATATGAATGGCTGAGTGCAGTTACATGAGGTGTTCTCATACCATAGTTATATCAACACTCTCTATCTCGGAGGAAGTGAGCTGTTTGTAGCTGGAAATTACTTCATATAGGCTATGGGATTCACCCTGAAACGTCTTGGTCATGATCCAACTCAATATCATTAAACTGTACTTCTGCAGGTTTGGGCTTAAGGGCTTGTTGCTATGACAACAACTCCAGTTAAATTTTAAAACATCTTTGAAAGACAAAAAAATTCCACACAAAGGTCAATTCTAATCTGGATAACTCATTAATCCATATAGAAAGAACAAGATCCCGAGCATCAAGCAAGCTGATTGGCTGATCCAACTCCTGTCAGAAGGCTGATATGTGAACTTTACACTCTGTGTAAGGATAATAAAAGGATAACAGAAACATGATGCATGGTCCAGCCTTAAGCAGCCACAGGTTCGTTGTTCGTATGATTCACTCCATCTGAAGACAGAGGTGTTGTACTGCCACAATTAATTACTTGTTTTCTGTTTGTTTTATTAATATGTTCTAGGACAGCTCGATTCCTCAATTAGGAACTTTGACAATGATGTAACACTGCCATCTAGTGGTCATTGTAGTGATGCTGGGCTTTAAATATGTAAACCACATTTTTCGTGTTTTATTACGACTCACCTGTTGTTTTTCCTTTTTTTGTACTTTTAATCTTTAATTATGCCGTTTTGTAAGGACAAGAAAAATATCAATAAAAAGGCTTTTTAACTGCAGCTTATGTCTATATTTTTACGCAAGGCCATTAAACACAGGAGCAAGATGTGTTGTAAATGTAATAAGATTTATTAAGAATATTTATTATTTCATCAGCATAATTCTTCATCATTAATATGTTTTATCCATTATCATCATTGTTATCTTAAACAGTGGACAGTTAGATCTAAAAGGCAGCCCAAAGTGTACAGGCGATATATAACTTAAAACTTTCTCCATAGGGAAAACATGTTTTTATATTCATATATAATATCAATGTAGCATGAGGTCCAAGATCCTGCCCACGTTATACAGTATTGTACATGGTCCCAGAAATAAACATAAAAACAAAACCTTTAAACAAAAAGAAACTAAACGGCAATCTACATGCAAAACAAAACCGAAAGGAAACAAGCATTTAAAATTGTAAGATACGTACACTCATATGCCAAAACGTGCATACAATCACAAATTTACAAAACTTTCATACATACATACAAATATTACAAAACTCAAATTTGAATATTAGACATTATTATGTTATGAAGAAAAGAGCAACAACTTTTTTTGTTTTTTACTTTTTCCACTCAATGTCTCAGTCCGACTCACAAAATGGAAAACTTAAAAACATTAAAAAAAAAAGAAGAAGAAGAAGAAGAAGAAAGAAAGAAAAAAAAAAGATGACAGTAAATCTTTGTCTCTTCCATTCGCTCAGTGTGTACGTGTTTTGCCAGAGTTGTCACAGTGTTCAGGAAAACTGAGTATAGGCACACACGATAGCACCCAAACAGGCTCATACCATAAATCACCTCTGTGTAAAAAAATAGCTTGCTTGCTACGCACACACACACACACACACTCCATCATGCACAGGGCAATATAACCAAAAAACAGAGCCATGCTACAGGTACAGTAGGATTAACTATAGTACAGAATATAAAACATATTGGATACAGTCACATATACAGACATAACATACAGAAACAGCAGAAGAGGCAAGGAGCAGATCCACGCAACATTGACTACATACACATGTACTGATGAGAGATTTCATGGTGACATGTATAGGCTGGCAAGAAGGCTGTGAGGCCATGAACTGTTTGAGTATGCACATGAACACAGACACAAAAAAGACACACACAAAAGGAAAGCAGGCGACACAACACATTTTCCATTTTGAAATTAAAAAAATTTTGAAACTGATTTGCTCGACGAGAGCAAAGGATTCATCTCGCTGTTCAATATTGTTGGAAAACGTCACTGTTGAAAAGGTCACATTGCTGCCAATTTATTCTTGAACAATATTTTCCAGTCTTTTTTTTTTTTTTTAAACATTTTTGTGCTACATCCAAACTTTAAAAGACCTTTAAGTGAGAAAAATATATTTCCCCTAGTTTAAAAAAGAACAAAAAAGAAACTCATGGTTATCTTAGTAGTTTTTCAGGGTGAGTCTTCTCTGCAGTTAGAGTTTATCATGTGACCAAAGATTTTTTTTCTTTCCATCAGACGACTGTTTTCAAGGTCAAAACTGAACTTTTACACTCAAACGAGCCTCTGATTGTTTTTTTTTTTTCCAGATTTGGAAAAGCCTGTGCAGGAAGTTTGTGTTGTGCCCCAAGAGCTGTGTGTGAGTAACACGAGTATCAAGTCCGGGATGAGGCAGCAGAGGGAGCTGTTGCATCAGCGTGAGGAAGATGAAACCCTGTATCGCCCTACAGTGTGTTAAAGGAACATCACCCATGATAGTGACATGAGGAAACCTGTCACTGAATGTTTTGAGAGCAGTCACCGTCAACATCTTTTTTCATGGGTCGTCTTTGAAATCAACTTCAAACGCATTTGAGGCATTTGCGATAAGCTAACAACCTTCCGTGTGGACTTTACACTGTCCGAACAGTCTAACAGGCCTCGGTTGGTTTGAAAACATCTTGGCTGATGAACAATCTTTCCAAGCTAATGTAGAGAACACGCTAACACTGCTGGGAGTTTTGGAATGACGAATCAAATCAATCTGACCGCAACAGATATGTGCAAGAGCCTTTAACATTACCACTATTCTTTCAAAATCCTTTAGAATATAACCTGACATTTGTCTCTGACCAAGCTTTTCACTGTAGGAGAGGTAATCACGTCAAAACTGGAGTGCACAATCCTTATACATTTAACTGGCTGCATGAACTGAAAATATCGGAAATCCCTTGGTTTTCCACTTTAACTCGGTGGTTTCCTACAATGAAATGCAATGCCTGTGCAACAGGCAAATGTCACGTTGTATCTTGATATGACTTCTCCACAAGGTGAGCAATAACAGATGCTACTATATGCTAAAAAAAACAAACAAACTCCACAGTTTTGGGAGTCGCCCTCCAAAAAGAAAGCCAAGTGGCAGCGGATAAATAACTTATAAAATCACATACAAAGACGATGAGGTTGTCTTTTTTCCCCCTTTTTGCATTTTCAATTCTTTAATTATTTGTGAGGCTTGTTTGGTGCCAAGTAAAAAGTTGAGGAACCTTCATGCAGAGGAAGATGGAGAAGACCACACTGTCACCTCCCGAAGCAAGTTTTATACTGATAGCGCAGGGATAGGGGGAAAAAAAAAACTGAAGCAATTTAAATGAGGAACTTTTCTGTAGTGGACACACAGTGTTCTTGAAAACAAAAAAAATCAGGAACTATGTCATTAAATGTCAATGCTTTAGCTCTTTTTAGCCGACTATGTAACGTGGTCTGCTTCACACTTATCAACACCCTGTGTGTAGTTTATTAGCATTAGTGAGACCGCTGAGCTGCCTCCTCCTGCTCTCAAACACATCAGTGACATTATTCCACAATGTCCCACATGACATTGCGAACGTGAATACAAAACGGGCACATACTGTATCACCATGACAACAGCCTAACGACAAACGACTCTCTCTCTCTCTCTCTCTCATGCGTTTTCCCTCAGTGGGTGAATGAATAGTTAAGGTAAATCCTTGATGCCTGAGTGTGAACTGAGCTTATTATGTTAGTGCTTCTGGTTGTAAAGGAAGGAGAGAAGGGAAGGAAGGAGAGAAGAAGGCAAGGAAGGAAAGTAAAACAGAGTTCCTGTCTTTGCAGCGGAGACGAATGTCACAGTCTTATTTTCACAAACAACGGCCGGACCCACTGACTCTGCTTCAATGTTCTTGTTCACAAACTTACAGAGCTGTGACCAAAATATCTCCGCAGATATTTGTCACACGTTGTCCATAAAACAGTTGATGTTTTTTTGTAAATTTTCACGTGTCTGTCAGAGATTCTCTGCTATTGATTATTGATAGGAGTGTGAAAACTCATCCAGAAGTTCTGAATCTTTCGCTCCTTCAGTTTGTCCCATCTTTTTTCTTTTACTCTTTCAGGCCAGTTTGAGTGTGCTGACAGGAAAGGTTGGGACTGTAACCATGGTGACAGGGTTGAGGACGGCAGCCTGTCCAACCAGCTGGGGATGGGGGGCCAACACTGCTGTGGGTTTCCCTAGCGATGGGCTCCCCTGGTTCACCACAGCTGCGCTGTTCACCTGGGCTCCATTAGTGTTAGCTTGAGGGTTAGCCTGGACGTGCGGCAGGGTGTGATGGGTGAAGGTGTGAGTGATGTGGCCCACCATGGTGGGCTGCGAGACAGACACACCCTGGGGGTAAAGAGTCGGGAGGTGGGATGGCAAGGGAGCTCCCAGGTGAGCCACTGGGTGGACGGTGATGTGTCCGATGGGCTGGGCAGCTAACGGCTGGTGAGTGGCGGTGCCAGCTGGAGCCGCTGTGATTGGCTGAGGGGTAGATGAAGTGGGGCCAGGCGATGGGGCAATGTGTGTTAGGTGTTTGTGATTGGCTGGCAGGGCATGATTGACAGCTTGGATGACTGACGGGTGGGATACGGCGGCGTGAGCGATGACGGTGGGCTGGACCTGCACAGCTTGGGGCTGAATGGGATGCGCGGCCGGTGGAGGGGGCGGACCTAGGGCCGGAGCGGGGGCAATGGCTTGAGGAGGAGGGGGACCAGAGGGGGAGGGCGTGGTCAGGACTCCAGAGAGAGGCAGGGTGGTGTGCTGGATAGACAGGTGAGGGGTGAGGAGTGGCTGGGCTTGTAAGATTGGAGGTGTTGGTTTGGGGAGGGATGTGGGAGCAGGAGGAGCGGGGACATCCTCGTCCATGTCCTGTTCAAAGTTGTCTTCTCCTTCTGTAGACCAGAGAAGAAAACAGTCAGTCATCATGATATGATGCAAGAAAACAGTTTCATGTGCATGTACTCTGTGTGAACGTGAATGTTTATGTAAATATAAAGTCCACTGAGAGACAGTCAGGAAGTTCACTGAAATTCAAACTACATGTAACCACTACTTTCTCTCCTGTGCCTCCCCTGCCATAAACAAGCTTCATCTACCATTGCACCTCTTGTGGTTAGTTCTGTATAAGCCTGTCAGATAAAAGGTAAACTACAACGTAGGCCTGTAAGTCGATGCATCTCATCCCTGTACCTGAGGCAGTGGATGTGGAGGCCTGGTCATCCTCTGGCTGGATGGTCTGCCTGAGGACTCTGTCAATCTCCATGACGTCCATGCACTGACTGAGCTCGTTCTTCAGCTCGGCCAGCCGCTGCTGTGTGGCGATCTTCTCTCTGGCCAAACGCTCCATCTCGTGCTCGTACTCCTTCTCCTTACGCTTCAGAGTCTTTCAGAGGAGACACAGACGGCAGAGTGGATGAGGATTGCTGCTACATGTAAAAATACTGTAAACACTTCTAACCTCAACTAGACGATCGTGGTGTAACGTACGAGAAAGTGAGTGCTGCACAGCGCACAACGCATACCTTGTAAATTCTCAAATAAAAGCCTATGTTCAGCTGAGGGTGCAGTCTGTATAAGCGAAGACCAGAAAACAAATGGAGAAAACATTTATTACAATAGTTCACACTATCATGCAAATTGCATAATGTTGATTTCCTCAGCATCGTTACAAAACAGTCACTCCATACTCAACCTCTGTTGATCTGAGATTCCCTTTTTAAACATAAAATACTGTCTTCACTCACTTCATTAGTTCTGATGGATACTGCTTTGCAGTTTTATCCCCGTGTTAAGCTTGTGTTAAAAAACTTCAACACTAGAAACCCTTTAATATGAAACAGATGGAGGAAGTGTTGAATTTGTATTAATGGGAGCAAAAGCAAATTAACAAGGCAAACGGGAGGAGATCATAAAACAGGAAAATTTGGTAATAAAATATATTTAGAAAAAAAACAAGGGGAAATACAAGTGAAGGCCTTGTTTTGTCTCTTGTAAATCAAGACCCAGACCACTATGAGAGAATATACAAATCTAGGATTAGTTTTAAATAGCTACAGTTCAAGGAACTGGCATTGCAACAGAAAAAGGAATTAAGACCAACTTTCTTTCTCTGTGGAGTCTGAGCCCTTTCCCACTTTTCTCCCGGTTGCACAATCCTGAAACAATATGTTCTCCTTGTTATCCCAGTTTCATACACCAGCAGGAAGGCATGCATGCAAATTCATTCATGTTTACACTGCTTTTGTCTGTCATCTACTTAAACTCCTCCCATTTCCTGGATATCATGCTTGTTTTTGAGAGAACAAGGTCAGAGTGGAAGTGAACCAAATTCATCATCTCCTAACAATTCTGATGTCACAGGATTAGTCAGATATGACTGAATGAAAGTATTGATTCCTAGCATAGCACTGTCATCCGCGGAGTAGTAAGTAGCATGAAGTGTCTGCAGATTTACAAGCATGGAAGAAAAACACAGCAGGAGGCAAAAAAAGACAGAAAACTTAACTTAACCACGCCATCTTTGTGACCTAGTTTCTGTGTGGGTCAGCTGACGGATGAACACCAAACATTACGACAGGCTAAGAACATTAACACAGATTACTAGGGAGGAATGAGGGAGAGGGGGTAAGAGGGAGAAGGGAGGAAAATGAGTGGGTAAAGGAGGGCAGGGGATGGAGAGGAGGGACGGGAAGGGGCAAAGGGATTATGTTGGTAAACAGAAACAGTCAAAAGCTGCAAAGTTTTTGCTGTGACTACCTGGTTAATTTAATTACGTTACAATACTGGACATTAAATATACAGCTGACTTGTTGAATAGTCAACATAAATGCTGAAAAAACAGAACAGGCAGAAAACAGTTTCCTGTCCTAATGGTGCAACCCGAAAGACAAGATAGAGATGGACACACAAGCAAGAGGACAGAACATGAGCACATGGGGACACATGATCCTACTACAGGACACTCACTTCAGTGAGCAAAGCTGTTTACTCTGCAGGCACGTGACGGCCTCACACGCGAGCCCACTCTCCGCAGCGCTCTTTGCAACGGCTAACAATCCAAACCTGGTGAACTCTTCCATAACAGCCCAACATCTCTCATCCACCACCCTCCCCTTCCGTGTGCTTCCATACATGCAGCCTTTTCCAGTAATTGTAGGGGCAGGTTTTAGAGGTCTCGAGAGAAGAAGGAAGGATTTGACTTTCTGTGTTTACTAGAAGCGGGTTCATGTCTGTTATTTCATATCTTCTACTGTATGTCTGGTGCATATGCACGCTCACTGAATATACTCCTCCTGCGAGACTTCAAGACAAAGCATGACACTACTGACACACATACAGTCACACAGATAATGGGTGGCTGGCCAACACCTGCTTATGTATGTGCGCATGTGTATCCATGAACATCATTTCAAGGTCTTCCCATACAAACCCAGACACCATTAGTCCTGCAGCAAATCACCAAGGAAACAGCTGCCACCCATAGTCGTTTCCTAGGCAACCCCATCCGCCAGGATTTGGCTGCTTGAGCAGCAGTTTGTAAAAAAAAAAAAAAAAAAAAAAAAAAGAAAGAAAGAAAAAAAAAGAAAAAAAGAAAAGAAAAAAACATCAGGAGCTATCCAATTGGGTTAAGCATGGAGGTAATTACATATAAGGAGTGATGTGACTGGACGTTTGCCAGCAGAGTGCTTCAGATCACTCCCAACCCCTCCCCCTCGTCCTCCTCCTGTACACTTCCATCCCACACTCCCTCTCCTTCTACTCCCCCATCCATCGCTCCTTGGACCCCCCCCCCCCCTTTTCCCCTCCTCCTCTGCTTCATCTATGCCTCCTTTATCCTTCCTCTTTCAAAATGTGCTCTCTAATAAAATAGGTGAAAATGACTCAAGGGTGGTGATATTTGGCCTGACAGGTGTCTCCGCCTTAATCATATATGCACGTGAGTACACAACAGGTCTGCATCTGCAATGGGAGTGTTGGAAGTACTTGAAGCCCTGAAAGCTCACAGCGATGCTCCACCATCCATAACCATTGACAAAAAAGACCAAAATAACCAGGATTTGATTGGTTTGGTCTTTGCATCACACACACCCTCATTCACACTTCCGTGGAGACCAATATGGAAGAGCGGACTGACTACAGTGTCCTGGCCACCTGCCGCCTGTTCCTATGGTTACCAAGTGTTCTGAAGGCATGAGACAACAGGGCGACATAGGATGAGAAGGAGAGAAGAAAAGGGCAAAACAGACAGAGGTTAAAGGACAAAGGAAATCTGATACATCTATCCCACTATAATAACCATGGAGGTACTGCTGCCCTGCTCCATTAGTGTACCCAGTGCAGGTCGCTGTCTCCCTCTCTCCCTCTCTCTCTGCAGTCTGGAGGCGCAGAGCAGATCGGAGTGGGTGAGCTACGGTGACGTCATCGAGCTTGCACTAGCCATGTGCTCAGATCTCACATGGCTCAGGGAGCGGGAGAAGGACTGAGGTTTACAGGTTTACATGAGGAGGGGTGGCAAGAGAGAAGGTGGGAGGGGAAAAAGGGGGACAAGTCACTCATCTAGAATAAAACCTACCGATTACTGCATTGCCCCAAATATAAGACAGTATTTTTTTCTGGAAATTTAATTTGAGAGAGAGTAACATTACCAGTGTATGAGGATGGGGATCAAATCCAAATCCTTTCAAATCCCTAATCGAATGTATGTAACTAACAGATGTCTTCATTTGTTGGTGAATGACGATATCTGGTGAAAACAATGCACTGTTTTTATTTCACTCAGTGCAGTAAGAAAACAAACTGATATTTATTATTTTTGATATTTGATTTTTGATCAAGCTTCTTCTAAAATCACATTAATAACACAATTGGAATTTTCATTTTTGATTTAACTTAACCTTAACTATAACTAAAGCCAAATTTAATGATTGATTCCCCCCTTGTTTCTATCTGTAAATGAAAACTCAAATTTGATGAATTGAAATTTTGGTTATTCAGTTTGCTATTCCACATAATTAAATAAGGCTGCAGCTAGATCAGTTCATAATGAAGGAAAAAAACAAAAAACTAGACCAATGTTTAGTCAATTAATGTTCCCCAACCAACAAATTGATTACCTGGCTGACTGTTTCAGCACTATTAGTAACTACCAGTATATATCCTGTTTATATATGCATTTGTTTTCTTCACTGGTGAATGGAACGACTTGTCCTCTTCACATTTCTTTTCTAGGATGAAAACTTTCAGTAAGCTGTGCAGTATGGATTTTCTCACCAGCAGCTTTGCTCTGCCTCATATCAAACCTATCATCATCTCTTGTCAAAGACTCTGCCTCAAATCCCTCTGTGTAGTGCTCCCTGAAGGCTGGCCCAACATCTTACAGCCAGCCTTGTTTTGCAAGTTCTTCCATTTCATGGCCTAATTTAGCTCCTTCTGCTGACTCCCCACTGCATATACCATCCAACTCAAAATCATGACGGTTCTACTCCACAAAAAAAGAACCACTGCATCTGGCTCCAGGCTGCAAATTCTTTCTGCCATCGTGCAGAAATCTTCGCTCTTCTACTTTTGTAGACTAAAAACTCACTGCTTCAGGCTATACAGTCTCTTCCCCCAAGTCCCCCTCAACTCCATCCCCCATATGCAATGTTAGTTCTCTGCACAACTACAATATGCTACAAGTCTTTCTCCACAAACATGTCACTCTTTCATATTTTCAAGTCATTCAGTTCTGGGGACAACCACTTCCTACTACCTACACAACCTACGTCTATTTCGTGTTGCATGACACCATATGACCATAGGACGGAGTTACACAACATTTCCACAGGATAAGAATCTCAGTGAGATGTGTCAAGTGCAAACTAATGTTCTCAACAAAAGTTAACAGCGGCTATGTTATTAAAAAACAGTCGGGTGGCGTAGTGGTCTAAGCAGGCGCCCCATGTGTAGAGGCTACAGTCCTCACTGCAGTTGGCCCCGGTTCGAGTCCCGCATCGGACGGCCTTTGCTGCATGTCATTCCCCCCCCCCATTTCCTGTCTCTCTACTGTACTATTGAATAAAGGCATAAAAAAGCCCCCCCCCCCCCAAAAAAATATATAAAAATTTTTAAAAAGTCATTATGTTTTGTAAAAATCTGAAAAACATTTGATTTATTCACCACTTACTTATAGGCTGATGCGCCAGTAGTAGCCATATGCCATACCATGGTCACAAGAGACCAACACAACACAAAACAACTGAATGGCTAACAAAACAGGCATTGTATAGCAATTACGCCAAACCGTCTGCAGTTCCCAGAACTGAACGAGTCCATTAAAGACCGAAGAAAGATGAAACAATAAGATGACAAACAAGATTCAAGCGATACCCAAAATACTGTGTTGGACCACACGAGTGTATAAAGGCTGTTACAGTTTGCTGATGAACTGAGTGTGTGTACTGAAACCCTTCTTACCTGTATGTAACGCAAAGCACTGCGGAGAACGCTGAGGTTGGAGGTTTTCTTCTCATCAACATTTGGAACGTTCTTCTTCAGTGTCTCAAAACACTCTTTGAGGTGTGCTCGCCTGAAGGTGCCAAGAGCCAAAACGAGATTTGGTTGTCATTAGCTAAATGTCTTGGAAAATATTCACCATGTAATAATAAGTCAATCCTTTGCTTGAGAGGTTAACCAAGTTGTTGTCATTTAAAGAGAATGTATAAGTCCAATTTTGCAGGCTTGAGAAGGATTTCATGGTTCATTATAGGTTGCGGAAATGCAGTGACCTTTGGGCTTATGAAACTCTTTCATAACACAAAAATGTGCGTTTATGTGGTGGTCAAGCTAACAAAAACATGGCTGTTTGCCTTAATACCTGGTGAGGTAACACCAACTGCAGCAATGAAGAGGTTCAGATTATTATGACTAACCTGTTCTTCTCCAGTTTATTGTGCACCTCTCTGGTCCCCGCTCTGGAAACACAAAAATCAATGATCAAATACAACCACAAACCCATTTACACTCTTGTTTCAACTTTGACAAACACACACACACACAAACTGACCCTCCTGGTCTCCTCTTCCCCTCCATCCCCCTCATGTCCTCCATCGTCACTCCATTTGGCCTCGGCTGAGATGTGGGTGGAGCTTGGTGGGGAACCAGTGCATGTTGAGAGCCAGAACCATTAGTGCTGATGGAGGTTGGGTACTGAATCTGAACCTGAGGCTGTGATTGGCTGGGCTTTGCACCAATCAGCTGCTGACTAGTCTCTACTTTCATCTGGGGGGCGCACAACAGGTGACGAGAGGCCGGCTGCTGCTGCTGCTGTTGTTGCTGCTGCTGTTGTTGTGGAGGGGAGGAAGCGTTCTTGGCTGGCGGGGAGCTGTTGAGCGACGTCGCGGCCGCAGCAATCGGCGTTGGAAGTGGAAGGGGCGGGACAGAGGGTGTTGCAGTGACAACTGGAACCATTGGGATGACAGCGATGGGGACTTGAGGAGGTGGAAGAGAGGGGGGCGGAGGGGCAGGAGGGTGATGTGGCTGTTGATGGTGAGTGTCATCGCCCCAAGTGACGTGGTTGGCTCTGACTGGCTGAGGTGGCGAGGTCACAAGTTCCACGCGCCTTGACTCCGCCTCCCTGTTGATGAACTCCTTCTCTTTGCACTGCTCTTCCTCTGTAAGACGTGGGACAGAAGATGCAAAAGGGTATGAGCAAGGAAAATAATGGATGACACCAAAGAAGGTGGAACAGCAGAGGATAAGGGTGAATGTAAGAGGACACAGAACAAAACTTTGGACAGCAAACTAATTGTTTAACTATCTAATTAGCTAATTCTTTTTTGCACTTTGCTTTGTACTTATGCACTGCTGCATTTCTTTTAAAATATTGTATTTTTTTTTATGCATTGTATTTTATAACGTTATTTTTATTTTATTTTATTATTATCACAGGTTTTATTTTCCACCTGGGTCCATTTTCATGTAAAGCACTCGGTGCATTTACTTTTTTTAATGTAAAGCACTGAGCTGCATTTCTTGCATGAAAGATGTTACATACAGTATATGATGACACTGATGCACGGACACACACACACATCCATACTGAATAAAGAAAATGCTCTACATTCAGTTTAGATAATCATCATCAACCAACACCCAACAAATGATTCAGCCTTAGCCGTGTCATTGTTGTGCTACAGATCACTTTGTCAGGGTGGATGTCAGTGTTTATGCAGTTAACATCTCAACAGTATGAGCACACAAATACACACAAAGAGTGATGTCATTGGGGAATCAGACAGTGTGTGTGTGTGTGTGTGGGGGGGGGGATTACAGAAATTGTGTCTGCATCCGTTTCCTGACTGGAGAGAACCCCCCTTCGTCTGACCTGTGATTGGACCAGTCCAGCACTGAGCATGCTTCTACCCGTGGGCCTACGTCAGGGCCGCCTGACCAAAGGACGGTTGTCAAGGAGCCTCTCAGCTTGGTCAACCAGAGTTGGCACCATCACAGCACATATATGTAGCATTGTTGTGTTGCGAATAAAAGCCAAAAAATAAGTTAAAATTATGATAATCACACCGGAGGACACGGGTGCTCCCACACTGTGCTGACATTGACTATGCGGAGGCCTACACACAAGCACATACACACACTTGATGATATGAGTGAGTAGTTATTGCACACCGGAGGAGGCAGACTAGACTCAAAGCGATGTGGAAAGCCCTCAGTTACCATGGAAACAGCAACATTAGAAACAGAAGATCCCAGGGATTCCTCAAAGCTGCCCAACGCCAACACACAGCCCAGCCACCACTACCATTAAAAAAACAAAACAGAAACACCACATGCCAACATGCCAGGCTGCGTGTTAAGTAACATTGCGTCTCTACATGACACCGCAAGCTCCCGATGACGCAATTTCCGCTCACCTGGAGCAATACTTCACCTCAGAGAAGGCCTGGACACACGTCATCATGACAACATGCACAACAAAATGATTTATCTGCACTAACAGAAGCATAAATTCTTTTTAATTTGTGGGATCTGACAACAATCCAATTAGACACTGTTAATAATGATACCGGGTAGTTACAATGTTATTCCTAAATTATATGTGTCTCCTCTGTGCTCCTGCTGAGAAGTGGAAGTCACCAATCACTTTGTGGTTTCAGATTCTCCAGTGTGAGGATTAACCTCTCTTCTCTGTCATACATGAAAGTCAACTGAATGTTGACTTGCACAAACATGCCATTTGAAGAGCCACCTTAGGTTCTGATAAACAGTGTATATATTTCTATCATATTACAGAAAAACAACACAATTCATCAGTTAGTCAGGTAAATAATCATTACTTACAGCCCTAAGAGTATTGTTCATGGCATGTATTTTATCTGGTCTCTGGGACAGCTGTAATTAAAAATGAACTAGAACAGTTATCAAGTTTCTGCTTTACACTTATTACCAGTTTGGCGATTTGTAACAGAGGAACACCATTTATTGCTGTGGACATGAGTGTGATTTTGCAACATGGTGCTGTACAATAAATACACTAATACTAGAAAAAATCCTTCATAATATCTAGGGCTGCAACTAATGACCATTTTCATTATAGATTGATCTGCTGATTATTTTTTGATTTATCCATTTGAAATAGTGAGAAATGCCCGTTGTAATTTCACAGACCGAGGTGATGCCTTCAAATGTCTGTCCAAAATCCAAAGATATTCAGTTTACTGTCATGTGTGAGAGTTTCAACAGTGTCATGATTATGATGTCGACTCTATTGCTGAGGCCAAGAAACACTGGTGTCATTTAGGAGCATTTAATAGCAAAATGCAGTTGCAAAAGTGGACGCGCTGTTTTTTTCTGTTTGCTAATGATACACCAAAATGGGTAAATTCTATAAGGGGTCAAAAGAAGAGGTAAAAATAATGTCATCTGAGAGTTTACTGATATATCGGTGTATCCTTAATTTTTTTCTTGGTCTTGTAGTACAATCCACACACACACCCCATGGCCCAGATTGTCAAATGCACGCAAACGTAAATTACATAACTTCTGCATTGAGAGAGGCTGGGTTTGGGTGGGGGTGAGCAGGGAGGTTTGCCCTACTTACCCCCCTTTCTCTCTCTCTAACCCGCCACTGTCAGTAGACTGAATGGGAAGGGCGGGGACGAGGAGTGTTTGTACGTCTGTGTGTGAGTGTGTGTGAGTGTGTGTGTGTATGTGTGCGCGTAGGTGTGTATCCAGGGGAGGAGGGGGCCAGTGTGCACGTGGTCGCTGTGGGCGGATCATAGCACGCGGTAGGGTAAGTATGCGGGGGGAGGAGGGGGTTGATATGTCTGACACGTCATCAGAGGGGAGAAACACAAAAAGCAGCCCCCTGCCCCCTTTCACCAAGTCAGTGATCATTATATCGATTGACAGCTCATCGGTTTCAAATAAATGGGAAAATCACAAACAAATACTTTTATATGCTCGCGCGCAGATATACAAATGGAACGGGGTGAGCGCGTGAGTGCCCGCCCCAGTGTGTGTCATAAGATAGCTGAGCGATGTCAGGGTATTATGTAAAGAGCAGCCTCTGCTCGCCACCGCCCTGCTGGTGCTCGACGGGCAAAAAACTGGGGCAAATCGATTGAAGGGGATCTTTTTTAAATAGATATTTGTCAAACTGCGAAAAATAACACTCCTCCATCACCGAATTAAACAGTTTTTTTCTTTTTAGCAATTAGATGTAAATACCATAACAAAGTGCACACTCGACATTTAGTTGCCTCATAATACCTGTACAACACATGAACAGACCACAGATCTGATAGGAACTCCTCTGCTGTCTTTCGAACACACAAACACACATACACACACACACATTCACACACATTCACACACGCGCCTACGGTGAGTCACTAGAGTGTCTAAACTGTCATACACACACACATACACACACACCGAGAGCGCGCAAAGTAGTTCGGAAAAACAACTTTGGCCGTTTCCGCATTAAGAAGACAAATGTGTGCAATAATTACCCACTCGGGAAATGCAGACAGTTTGCCGTGAATCGAGTCTTTTATTGGCATGAACCCAGCGCGATAAACACGAACTACAAACGCTTCCGTCCCTCATAGGCGGGTCAGTTGAAAATGCAAGCCCAGCCGTTCATAGTAAACGGCATACGGTCCCTCAAAAGGCAGTTCGGGATTGAGCACACATTGTTATTTGGTGTCATGTCCGGTCAGCACGATGCAGCAGTCTGCTGTTCAACTTACCACGTGTGATCTGTTGTTGCTGGGCTTGCCATTCCAGGTATCTGGCCGCCTCCAAAAGTGTATCGATGCTCATTGCGCGTAAACCCTCACGACAGGCAACCCGGTGGCCCGGGACGGAAAGAGGAAAAAGACCGAGGGGTTGGTAGTGTCCCGCTAGGAAGCGCCGTGTGCACGGTTCACACCCGCAGGCCCGAGCTTGTCGTCCCCTGTGTTTCTCCTGAAAGCAGAAGGGCAATTTCTAATCCGGCCGAACGGAAAGTAGATCCTCGCATACGTAAAAAATAGGATTGCAACAAGATGGCGATGCGAGCACTGGAATACACACAACAAGGCGAGTCGTGTTCTCGTTAAGACCCGCCCCTCCCGGATTCCTGCCCCGCCCTGTTACTACGGCCACCGCCAAAACCAGGCGACCGCATCACTCCCTGCTCCTCCGCGCTGCCAGTCTCTGCAGTCGTTAACCCTCCCCAGTCACAACATTTCACTGACTTTGACATTACAGCTTTCATAACCTCTATTTCAAAGCTCCTGGAACAAAATCCGCTCACGGTATAATCGCGTTTCTCTGTGGGACCGCTGGAAAGGGAAGTCCCGTTGATGTCGCCCTTTGTCCAGGTTTTCGTTCCTGCAGCTGGCCCGCAGCGCATGAAGACCAATAAGGCGCCAACGGACCAATCAGCGCTCAGAACAACAAGGCATGGTGCTGGTCCACATGGGCACCCGCCCGGCCCGAGCGCGGCTCATTTGCATGGCGAGAGCGTGACTGGCCACCCTGCTGTCTCGAGATCATAACTGTCAATCAAACAGCGATGGGCGGGGCTTACTAGTGTATGTGGGTGAGTGCTGAGGAGGAGCGGCTGACCAAAATGTACTATTATTATTATTCAGGAGGTTGATGTTATAAGTCTAAATAGTATTAATACTAAATTCAAAAGTTTTACTAATTGAATACTCATGATGAGAATCAATTCTGCATGACAGGTACTACATTATGACAATTGAGTTATTTTATTGACTTGTGTATAGAAATCCTTGAAGCACATGTCGAGATGGATGAGCAACTATTATATGATACACTACTGTCGTTTACAAAACATAAGTAGATGTATTTTTGTTTCCCCTAACTAAAATGTTGCTGTCTTGAATTGTCACATTTCTTTTGCCACAGAAAAAAAAATAGATATTAAGTGGCAGCCAAAAGACCTCGAGGATATGTCTGATAGATAGAGTGGTGGATATTCTAAAAGCTCTATAGTAAAGTGCAGGATTGTCCATGGATGTTAAATTTACATTGATTATGTGTAGTATATGGATAATGCACACAGTGTATATACATATGCTTAAAGTATCAATTTATTAACTTATCAATTATTAACTGAATATGTTGGTATGTATTTCTCATGATGTGTTGTTATTGTTAGAATGTGTTTTACAATTTTTGTTCAAAAAGTTAGCATATTTACCATTATCCATCTTACAAGGTATTTTATTTCCCTCTTCCAGTTTCCAGTTCCAGTTTACCGCATCTCCTCTCCAGATTTTTTCATCTTACACCCACTCCGTCTCAAATCTTTGTGATTTACTGCATCACAAGGATTTTCTCTTTCTCTGTAGCCACTCCTTCTTTCCATAAGGTATAGTGCATTCAAGTACTGGTCTACCTCTGTTATTGGATATTGTGTATTGTACGCTGTAACTAATGATGGGTGTTAGGTGATATGCAATGCGTGATGTAACAGCAGTGGTGGTTCATGCAATGTATCTCACTCAAGGGGGAAAAATAGTTCTAGTCATGTGTTTGTCTATGTACTGTAGACAGATACATGTATGTAGGGTATGTTTGGCTGCATGGTAACAGGCTATGATTGGACATCACTGAGTCGTATATATCCTCCACTACATCACAGGGTCTGACAATCTCAGCCAATCCAAACAGCAGCTCAAGGTACATAAGAGCTGCCTTCGCCACGCCATGTGCCCTGGCTACACATACAACCCTTCTGACACCATTAAGATCTGGACCATCGAGCTATACACGAGTTTGTCAGAAGACATCTGAAACTCAAGATGATAAGATGCAAATGCAAGTGAGTAAGAAAGAGGGAGAGAGAGAGAGAGTGAGGGGATGGGAGTCATTTTGCAACAGGCTGAGATACCATGACAGCATGCATGAGAGAAAATGAATGAGGCAGAAAAGGAGGGGGAGGGAGAGAACAGGGAAGGTAGAGCTGCAGCACATGGTAAGCACATGAGCTGCATGAAAAAAAGTCTATGGGGATGTATGCATATACAGAGGAAAATGAGGAGGAGGAGAAGGAGAAGGAGGGGTGGCTTGGAGAGACGGAGAGGGTGGGAGGGATTTGAGGCAGGGACGGGCTGACCCAGTTAGAAGTGCTGCATCACTAGTGGATCTACAGAGCAGAGACAAAGAGGAAGCGATGCAATACAGGAGACTTTAAACAGAGAACGTGCTCAAAGTGGAGTCACAGGCCTGAGGTGAAAAAAAAATTGACCGAAAACCTTAATTGTTTGGCTTTGATCAAACTAAAAACTTTGGATTTGTTGCTTGTATTTTATGTGATGAATGTACAAAAAGATTGTGCCTCTAAATATCAATAATAATAATTTCTAATCAGAACGTATTTCTTTGCCTCCAAATGTAACTACACCCATAACCATATCATAACTCAAACCCTAAACTGAGAGTGAACCCTCTCCCCAGAACATCAAAATTTAAACTTTATGTCAAAGGATGTCAAGCATCTCAGAGCGTGACAACATGCTGTCAATTTGAATTTTGTCAATTTGAATTTACTGTCAATGCGAAGACATAATAAATACAAAAACAAATTCACATTGATGTTTCTTTCTCTGCTGCCTCCGCTGAGACACAAGATGTTCAGGTTTATTATATTTTCCATGACATCTGTGCGACTGCTGCTCACTTGTGCACAGTGCAGAAAAGCGGCTGCTTTTTTCCTTATAGGGACATGGATCTCTCAACACATGCCACCACTAGAGAGCGCCACATCCTGTAACATACCTTGTCCAGAGCTGCTCCAAACCTCTCCCCATCGTCTTCCTCAGGCTTTGCAGGGATTATTAGAACGCTGGTCACGTCAACTATAGTGGGACACACGTAAGCTATACTGGGATGACACACAAACCTATATATTAACACAGACCCCGCAGCTGTCTGTGCTTGAATCTACTGGTATATGTCTGCATGTGTGAATAAAGAAAAGCCAGTCTGCTGTATGAAATTGTTCAGTTCTTTGTGAGAGAATCAATACAGCTGCATCTAACAGAGACAGCTCTGTTGTATACATTGACCTTGAAACCTCCTCAACACTTTCTCATCATGCTAGCTCATCTGAATCATTGCTGGCTTACACCCCTTTGCGGCACCTTTCACTGTATTTCTTTGCTCCAAAACTGTATTTACAGTTTTACAGTTTTGTCAGAGAGAAGGAGAGAAATGGGTGACCTTACAGCTAGACATATAAGGAACGTGACCCTCTTCTACCCTGTTTTGATGTCTTTTTCTTGCATGAGAGGAAAAAGTGTGCACTAGGCATGAGAGAGTGGTGGCAAGCGGATGTAGGCCAATGTTTCTACTCCAGTTCCTCTGTTGAGAAACAGAGTTTCAGACTGAGACAGGTTTATTATCCTTTCATTAAGTCCTATGAAGCTGCCTCTCACTTCTCTGCATACGTCTAGCACACCAGTTTCAGTTTGCTATATATGTGTGTGTGTGTGTGTGTGTGTGTGTGTGTGTGTGTGTGTGTGTTCCCATTATCGCTGTCCTTTTACTACATGAACCTTGTGCTGTAACCACCTTCCCTCTTGGCATTCGTCCTTGTGTTTTACTCTACCACTCCCTGTTTCTCCACCCTCACAGACCTGCAGGACCGAGCAAGGTGTGGTGGTTGCATGCCTGCTGTTCTGGTAACTGTTGCCAGGATACCGCAGAGCACAGAGAAAAGAGTAATTGCTGTGTGGGTGAGTGAGCAGGTGTGTATGTGAGCACAGAAGTAGGCTGGGGTACAGTGCATAATTGATAAGAGGGCCTGAACTGTCCCTGCTGCCTTCTGGTGTCTTTGCCTCTCCAGTCTGAGCTTGCAGTTTAAGTGACAAGGCTGAAACTGAGGAATAAACGTCACAGCTTATTATACTGTTCTCTCCATATCACACTTAACATCTGTAAGTCTTAGTACTGCATCCTCCCCATCACACAACTCTTCTTTGGTTACCATAACGACTAGGTCAAGACTGATCTGTTCCTCTTCTGTCTGCATCAATAACAGCAATGACAGTCAGTATCTGACCCATGTTCAGATAGAAGCTGCCAAAAGAAGCTAAGAGACCAGTGCAGCACCAGAGCCAGATAGTTATACATAAATAATATTTGCTTTCCAGAGCAGCAGCTTGAAAGTTTTGCCGAGTGACCCATTTCTTTCTAAACCCTTTGCGCTGATGATTCCAGATTTTGTAAAATATTAACACTCAATTTTGTGGGGCACAGGCTGCCATTGGTCTACATGTCTGGAAAAGATTTTTTCATGATTGAACCAAATTTTGGAAAGTTTCTCAGAGCACAAAAGTGCTATTAGGAGACTAGACTTAAGACTGGAGACAAGAAGCATTTTGTATATATAAATTGAACATATTATCGCCACTCTGACTGAATGAATAGTTAAGACTTTAGGGGTTCTCTTAGAAATTAAATTTTTCTTTGATTCTTTATTTTTATTTTGGCAAGTACTATACTTCTGGAGGACTTTCATTCTTTTAATTTGACCACAAGATGGTGCCATCATGGGAAAGGCAAAAAGTAACAATTCAGGTGACAGAGATGACATGATGCATTTATCCTGTAGGATTCTTTGGATGGAATTTGAGAATGTATATAATGTTTGGGCACTGGTGAAACTTTGCGCTTTGAATCAACTTTATGTGGTGTGAATAAAGACGAAAAATACGAACATGCAAAATCCTCCTCTTTCAAATTACCACATTGTACTTTCCCTTAATTTATTATCAACTATCACAGCACCACAACCAAAAAGTTTCAGAGACACTGATGAAATGGTTGAGAATACACTTACAGCTAAAAGTAGAATAAAAACTGCAATAGTCTTGTGCCTCCAGTTAGTTTCAAGTTATTTCATGTGGTATGGACAGGAAGGTGTGCTGTAGTATCTGACCTCACTATGAAACTGTGCGGTGGTAAATCCCGTCTGACTCCCAGAAGGTTTCCTTCATCTCATTTCACCTCCTTTCCTCAAATAAAGCACACAAATAGATAACTTATATATTTACAGAATTTTATTTCATTATGTTGCAAACAATGACATCCAGATATATTGATACACAACTTTTACTGTGCGTGTATGTGCATTTGTGAGTGTATGTGTATGTGTGTGTAAAGAGAGCAGTGAGACCACAGAAAGCAGAATGAAAATCCCGTGAGGGAGCCCTCAATGGGTTAACAAGGCAGAGATAGCGAGCAAGAGGGCACTGGGCGATTCTCTGGGGCGACATACACACACACAAACCTCATAAAAGGTGAGCAGACTTTTTCCTCTGTAAAACACACTTTTGCTATGGGGTGTGTGCCTGTGCTCTCAGCAGCTTAGGGATCATTAAGGTCCTGTGAGTGTCTACTAGAAAGCAAGTTTGTTAAAAGAGATGAAGTAGTATGAATGAACACAGTGGGTGAGAAGCTTTGCCTCCTCTCTGTCCTCCGACCATCAGAGCAGAGACAGTGGAGAGATTCTCCTGTCATAATATACAAACACACACACACTCACACCATGTATACACACATGTACACGTGCACTCGCCCACAGAACCTCGTGTGATTCAACTAGGGAGCAGCATCCTGCTTCGTTTTTTTCTTCAACTTACTATCATCTTCTCCTGGACAGCTTCCACTCATTCTTTCTCTTATACTCACTTTCCTCACATCTTCTCTATCACCATCTGGACAGTGACAGACCACAACAATGGAGGCATGGAGTAAAACTAAAAAAAAAAGACAAAAAAAAGAGAGAAAAAAACCTAAACCCCTTCAACAAGGGGTGCCATTGGTTTTCGTGCACTGTCAGTTAACTGGAATCCACCTGCGGCAGCACACAAGGATATTTACCCTTTGACCCGATGGGAAGTCATGACAGAAATGCAAATTCGGCAAATTTAACAGTATACAATTTTTTGATTGATTGATTGATTCACCATGCAAGGAATACTTCTTATCTTTTGAGTGTGTTTATGTGTCAGAGATTGCGTGACATTTATTAAGCGTACCCTACATCCAGAATAATTTACATAAAAGGACAATAGTCATCTTAATAGGGCTGGACTGATGTAGGGGAGGAGGGAAGGAGAGGGGAGCAAAGGGAGGGGACAGGGAGAAGGTAAAGCGCCATGGTCAACTATGGTTTGGAGTGCGAGAGGTGCGGGGCAGGGTTGGTTGTCAGGACAGAAGGAAGAGGGCTGAGGTGCAGGGGTAGAGGCTGGGGCAGGTTGGGGCTTTAGGGCTACTTTTGGAGTTGGGGTTGGGGGGTGGGGGGTGGGAAGCAGGACAGGGCAAGAGATGGAGGCAGTCTCAGCGGCACTCCCAGACTTTGACTGTCTGATCGACACTGCCTGTCACCACGTAGGGAGCAGTCTTGTGGAAATCTGCAAGAGGGATAAACATTTGTTCAGGTGCGCTGCATTAAAGATAAGCTCAATGATTAAGGCAAGTTCACCAAAATGCTGAAAATCTGACGTACAAAGTTAGCAATTCATTTTGGGCTTAAGTTCTGTATTTTCACAGGTTATTGTTAGACATTTGAGAAGCAGGAGATGCAAAATTAATTCCATTAATAACTGTCTTACCCAAAGAGGTAACAAAGTGTTCATGGGCACACAGGGTCTTCATGCAGCGTTTGTTCTTGTAGTCCCAGATCCTAATGGTTTTGTCATCAGCACAGCTCACTATGAATCTTCCTCCAGGGTGAAACAACACGCCACGCACCCAGTTGTCATGTCCCACCTGAAGAACCAAGACTAATTACCGTCCACTCCTCTCACACTAAGCAGTAACACTGAGACAGTCACAGAAACCATCGTTTAGACTACTCACCAGAGTCATAAGGCAGATGCCAGTGCTGACATCCCACATCTTAATGGTTTTATCTCTGGATCCAGAGAGAAGGAAGGGGCCAGGCTTTCCACTCTTCTTGCTCTATAAAACAGAGATATAGAAAAGATGTAAGAAACAGCGAATAGCTACATGAAAGAGAACAACGTATCACAAAGATGCTTTCTTGGAATGAAGAGGCAATTTTCAGCCATGATAGTGACTTGGCTCTAAGGACGGCAATGTTGGTTGAATTAATTCCCTGAGTTTTCGTCAAGCGCCAACATCAGGTCAAAATCTCAACTTGTCCAGTACTTTGCTTTGTGACTAAATACTTACAAAACTGACATTTCCATTAGTCTCAGTTGTACTTTGTGTTTACTGCTAATTAGCAAATGTTAGCATGCTAACACACTACACTAAGACTGTTAGACATTATTTCCGATGAACATCAGGATATTAGCATCGTCACTGTAAACATCTCAACATGATGTTAGGGTTTAGCTCTGTGTACCAGTGTACTTAAGTACAGCTTCACTGAGCCACTAGCATGTCTGTGGATGTGTCTATTAACAAACATTTAAATGCCATGTTTTTAAAAATCTCACAACCTGAAGATAAACTGTGGTGACTTCTTCTCACATCACCAGCTGTTTGGTCAGGTGTTCACATCATGTTTATTTTGTTATAAATAAACGAGTATGTCACAATCAGTGTAATTTATTGAGTTAAGTCTCAAAAATCCTGACAGTATTTAATCTTTTGTGATAAATTCAGTTACCAATCAGGTGTCCATCTTCCTCATGGGATAGGGCCTGTTCTGTTTTATACTACAGTTTCATTTAATAAAAGAGCATTAATTTGTTATGATACAGTCATTAACTCAGTACACAATAACAATTGTGGGGAAACCCTGCAGCTGAACCAAACATATACAAACATCCTCTGCAGGTTAATGTCAGATCCTGTAGCAGCTGTATTTACCTCTGAGCCTGTGGCCTCCAGGATGGTGGGGTGAGCACTGTCAGGGGCCCAGGCGATACACTCTACCACATGTTCATGCTCCCGCAACTCAGCTTTGCAATCCTTTGAGGCGACCACCCATACACGCACCGTCTGGTCGTTGGAGCAACTGGCGATCAATGAGCCGTCCTGGTTGGGACGCACCATCCTCACCCACTCCCTGTGGCCTGTGAAGGTCTTCACACAGTACCTGTAGATGGAAATATTGCAAGTTGGATTGAGATTGTGAAAGAGCAGCTTTTAGAATAAGTTAATTGTAAACTAATGCTACATCATAAGTCACAGAATTAAGACCATGGGGAGGAAGAATGATTTGAAATTCAAGCATAGAAACAAAAAAAGAAAGCAGAAATGCTCAAAATGTAACATTACATCAATCTCAGTCTCTGAGAGCTTGTGGTAGTGAAAGTTGAAACAAGACCCCCCCTCACTTACCCAGTGGCCACCTCCCACATCTTGATGGTCTTGTCTCTGGAGGCAGACACTATGTGGTCACCATTTGGCATGATGGCTACAGACGACACGTTGTGATCGTGGCCTGAACGACACAGTCAATAGTTTAGTTGTTTAGCTGGTCTGAGTTAATCTTAATACTTAAACCACCACACCTAATGTGTACAAAGTCACAGCAACCAAAATCATTTAAGATTTCTAAAATAAAACTAACCCTTCATTAGTAAAGACTTTTGTTTTCAGTTTCCAAAAAATAAACAGAAAATAACCAGAGTAAATACACATATGCTGTTTTGTTGGGATCATTTCTAGTGAACTGTAGTGAAATAGATTTCTTTCAAAATGTTTTGGTGAGTCCTCATATCGAGAGCCCCTCATAAAACTGCAGCCTTTGCTTCAATTACCTGTTGTGCTAACATCATGCAACATCATGATGTTAGCATCATGCACTGCTAACATCATGCACTGTGAACAAAATGTATATCTAGTGATATACAACCAAAATAATTGTACACCCACTTGCAGTATTTATAAAGGATCCATTTATAAATAATTTTGCATCATTAAAAAAAAATTAATTAAGTAGTTGCACTATTTCTAAATCAGATTGTATAACAATGTATGCATTTGTGTATTAGCTACACCACTTTTGCAGGAACTTTGTACTGTAACAATGATTATTTCTGTAAATATCACTTACCATGCATTGTTCGGATGCACTCAAACCCCTGAAAGTCCCAGAGTTTGATGCTCATGTCAGCTGAACATGAAGCCAGCAGCTTTCCTGTCTGGTCAAAGGAGATGTCCTGCACAGAGTCTGTGTGGCCCTTCAGGGTTCGTTCAAAGTCCCCCGCCTCATAGTCCCACACCTAAAATTACAGACAGACAGCGACACGTAGTTAGTGTGGCACCCTAGCATTACCCTCCCCAACTATAAAAGACAGATGTAAACCATACCACATTGCTAAAATTGGTCAAATTTTATTAAGTCTTGTGATCTAACAGCCAAAACGTGTTACACTGACTATTTGATTTTTTTAGAGCAGGACAGATTGTAGGTTACAATGTGTTTTGATACTGAACTCAAATATGGATATTGAAAACTGTGCAGTTAGACATATAGGTTTAAACACACAAAACTGCAATTTAATTCAAAACAATTTACATTAAGCAATCAGCTGACACCGTTTGCTTCTTTAATAAAAAGTCTTAAAGCAAAGGAAGAGGATGGGCTGAAAGAGGAACAGATTTACATGATACCCAAGGTGCTGTGCTCTGGGAGTGTTGCCTCTGACAACAAGTGCATCAGCCCATCTTCACACAGATGAGCAGTGACAAAGCAGAAAAGAGAAATAGAGTGAGGGAGGAAGAAAGGGTGGGAGGGAGGACGGGAGGGAGGGAGGGAGGGAAGAGAAAAAGGGGGAGGGCTGGGCATGCTGAAACAGAGGCAGTGAGGATAAAAAGGGAGAGCAGCCTCACATCTGCAGTACAGCTTTGATGTGAAGGGTCAGAGCTGCAGAGGCTATGTTGTGGTGAGCTGCAACACTCACTGATTGTGCTGCATTCAGCCATCACTATGCTTCAATATTCTTGCTAGAGACACATTTTCAAAGCGACATCCCAAAGATACATAAGAAAAGCAAGAGAAGTTTTGACATTTCCAAAGAGAGCAAACAGGACCTCATGATGCACAAATTAATGAGTAGTATATCAGTATGATAATGCTATTAATTGGTGTACAATTTTTTTAACGCTGTAAAAAATTCACCTTTATAGGGCAGTATTAAATGTAGGTCAAGACTGTGCTGTTCCCTCAATTTTCTCAAACTTTGGAAAAGTTTTTTCCCAAAAACTGAAGCACAAATATTATCAATGAATAATTATGTAATATTTAAATACCACTTCTCCCAATGTACTCTGACACATTTGTACAGTTACAAACTGCCAAATTACATTTGCCAGTTGTATTGTAGGTACACAAAGCTAAATGAAATATAATACAATGCAGTATCATACAAAAGCCCTGCAACTAAGCTCTTTGTTTACACTGTGTCAGAAGGGTATTGATTTAACTCTATAGGCGTTTTTGAGGCTACAGTGGTGTGGACAGTATTGCATCAGACTGAATGGTCTCTGTGTTTTCTTCTCCCATCGATATAAAGGTGGGTCATCAGCCTCAACATAAACTGAGTATGACAGGTTACAAAAAGTTGGGATTTATGAGCAGGGCTGTTGTATTGTGTTGTATCAGATGTAGCTAGCTGCACTTAATAAACCTGGCAGCTCATTGTGTAAACGCTGTTTGTAAACACACACACCTTTATGGTAGCATCCTCTGAGGCTGTGACCATGACAGAAAAGACAGGGTGGAAAATGACACGCGTGACTGGAGCGCGGTGCCCACTCAGGGCGTATCTCTCTGGGGGACGGGGGATCCACTCCTTGGGGTCTCGCTTCTGACCCACAGATCCTCCATGCGTCATCTCCTCCTTTGCCTCATTCAACTTTGACTCCAACTCCATCACCTGAGGCAGGGCGGCAACACAAGGAGCACAGGAGTCAGAAGTTCAGAGAGTCTGATTAGCAAATGCCTATGTGTGTAATTATTTGATTTACATAGGCAACAATTTAACACAATCACGCTTTCAATCTGGTGCTTTTGATTTTTATAAAGCTGCTGAAATAAACTTGTCTGTATTTAAACTTTTCTAGGTTAGGTGAGGGAACTGTTCAGCATGTATCAAACATCTCATACACTATCAGCAAGCACACAAACATTCCTTACCTTCTTCTGTAATCTGATGACTGAGGTCCATTTTTTTTCCAAAAGTCCTGCATACTTTTTATCTACCTCTTCATTCTATGAACAGAGAAAAGACACAGACACTGAGAAAGGGATCCACATTCCTCTTAGTAAAAACGAAAGTGCACTTTTTAAAATAATTCGTTTCAACATTTTGGTGCGTCTGTCGCTCCTTACCATATCTAACTCTGCCTCTTTCTTGAAGGTGGAATAGGCTTCCTCGTATCCATTGGAACGGAGATAGTCGGCTATAGCCCGGTTTCTGAGAAAAAGTACAATAAAACAGATTTTTGAAAGGTCTCAGGTGTTAACTCATCAACAGTTACAGACTTGGTCCTCAAAGATGCTACCACATACCAGCTGCCAATTTTAAGTTGTCATTATCAGGGCAATTCCATTTGATTGCTCCCAAAATAGTGATAAATGAATTACATGTCAAAAACTTGTGTAATGATAAATGAGATTATCATCTATTAAGATGATGAGATATGAACTCCACCTTAACAGAAATGCTCGTTCCTCCTTAAAAGAGAGGATACCACACCCTGTCTAACAGATGGGAGCAATGGGATTCAAGTTTCACAGTTCCACCTTAAATGTCAGCAAATCTGAATTAGTGCCAAAAGAAATTACAATCTTTCAATGAAGAAAACAAAACGTAAGGGCCACATCACTGGGAAACTGTTTTGTGCTGCTCCTTAGAAACCAGAGATTGGCCACGAGGAGAGAACACTGAGCATGGACGACGAAAGGACAGGGCAACCACAAGCACATGGAAACAACTTTAAACATTCAGGCAGACTCGTCCACAAATACACACAGACGTACATACACACCCCCCCACAAACACACAGAGTTATATAAATGAGTGGAACAGCTCCTTTATGAGATGAAGGGTGAATATTTCATGAGTAATGGTACTAAATTTAGGCTGCAGCTTAAGGGCTACTTTGAATTGCTTATAATTGTAACCCTAAAACTAACTGTTACAGATTGAATATTAGACCACCACGGGCAACAGGATTTCCTCTACATCATCCCAATCAAATCCCTTTTTAACTCTACATTAACAGCCCAGATTATCAAATTCAGACAAAGATGACAATATCTGCTGTTCTACATTGTCTTGACTGGGGTCTGCTGAACTGGGATGAATACCATATGACCAGCCAGCCAGATACCACTGCACAGAGCAGCTCATATAACCAACCATCATTTTTTTAAGTTCCTCCTCCTTCCCCATCCCCCTCACTTCTGTGCTCCTGTCCTGTGGGTTATGAAATATTCACTAAGTAGCTATCAAGTGAACCACCTTGAAGCTCACATCTTGTCACATTTCCTCAATGATTACACATTCTTGTAAAGGAATGCACTTTCTTACAACATCTAAATTAACCTCTTTTGGGTGACTTAGCCCAGACTGCTGATTTAATTCCACTGCTTTGTATCCAGAACATGTAATGTACATCTGTTTCTTGTGGACAAACTTCGAGGTATTGCTAAAAAGCCTATACAAACACACACTTTAATACACCTATAGATGAACTTTAAATGTGTGTTGGATCTACATGTCTGTTCTTGTTTGCATGTGTAATGAGCCTGCACACACACATATTTACATCCAGGCACTCACAGTTCATCTCTTTGTCTCTGTGACAGCACCATGGTGGCTGCTGTTCTCTCCCTCTTGGGGAGGTGAAGGGGAGGCGATGTGCTGAGGGAGTCTGGCTAGGAAGTGTGTAGTGGGGAGGTGTCTGATCCCTCAGCGATGTTTTTCCTTCAGAGACTCAGAGGTGGCAAAAAGAGTGCCACACAGAGGGAGGTGAACTGGAGATACGGCTGTCAATCAACTGCTGGTACAATGCTCCACGAGTATTCACAATGGCCAAATCTCACTCACTGATCACACGTGCCCATCACCTGGTGAGGAGAGATGAAGGGAGAAAAATGGGTTAAAAACAAGTAACACACAGGAAAAGCTACAAAGCTAATGGCAAAAAATACATATTTTTAGTAGTAGAGAATACAGACAGTTGGTAGCTCCTTATATAACTAAGTTACAAGACAAGAAAAAAAAAAAGATTAAAAAGTCAAATTCCATTCTTCTTGGTGATACAAAACCTTTAACAAAGGTTGGGGTAAATTAAGTAGGAAGGCAAGAAAGTGGCGAAGAACAACATCTAATTAAACTGTGCTGGGAAGTAAGGAAAAGCCATTTTAGGGGCTTTATCAACTTCCTGTTCATTCATGCACTCGTGTATGCATCTTCATTGCTGACAAAGCTTTTACATGATATCAATTTCAAAACATATTGAGAAAAAATATTTGTTAGATAACTTAGCTTGGAGTAAGAATTCTCTACCTTCTACACACTTTATGAAGCCCTGGATGTTGCATAAGATCATTTTTAAGAAGTTAGCAGCTGATTTTGTACAAATTATCTTATCAAAGATTTAATCTTAAGGCCTCATCAAGTGTGCAAATAATTACGGTGACTTTGACTGTTGGAGTTTAAAATGTTTTCTTTTATTATAGTTTCAGTCTGACTTTTGGGACAATATGACCATCCCACTAACTAAATACAAGAACAGAGATCAACAGCACAAGCTGCAAAATCAAAACACACCACTCAGTGATTGCGAAGCTAATAAGGAATCGCTTCCTGAGCTTCAACACTGCTGGCACCTGGGGCCACAATAGCACTAAGCTGCTTAGCGGCTAGACCAGGCAACCTACAGTCTCTCTGTGTGTGTGTGTGTGTGTGTGTGTGTGTGTGTGTTTCTAAGTGATAGAGACCACAAGTCCTCCATACAGCTGACAGTGCAATGTAAAGAAGGGACTGGACGGTTGCTAACAGGATTAACCCCAGACATTAAGAGAGGACCTTAACAGCAATCTGCCCTTGTCTGTATCATTGTCTGGTGCATTGTTCTTGTCCGTTTCTCCGTCCGTTGATAGTTGCTGCTTTGAAACATAAAAGACTCTTTCAAAAAAAAGAAGAAAAGAAAATCAAATGATGCCCAACTGGAAACTTTTCTTAACATTGAGATTTTTTTCTGCATGTATTACACTTTACAGATGAGCACTTGAGCATTTCTTTTCTTTTGTTGTCAACTGCTGCCATGCTTCGAAGCATGGAGGCAGCAGTCGACAACAAAACATTTAGCCAGGGATGCGCCTGAGTTGTCCTAGAAAGAACTCCTCTTTCCTGCCTGCAAACATTAGTGCTCTGAGCTGACAGGATAGAGCTAGTGATTTTAGCAAAGCAGCACTCTCAGCGTGATTCAAAAATAGCCATTTGACCAAACAGACCAACCTCCAAACTATTACGCAACTAAGACAATCTCAGTAGCTTCTGCACCTGCCTGAGACTCCTGAGCTTCACCAGCAACTGTATTTGAGAGATATGTTTTGAAGGAACTCAAAGATAAAATAAGTGATAGTATGAGGCCTGGTTTCAGATAGTAAAAAGTAATTTCAAGTCTATTTTCAAGTTATTATACTCCAGTCATTGAAATGAAACGCAAATGTGCAGTTATCTACAGTACAACTCAATGGGAACATGGTCAGAGTCATAAATCAAGAAGGGTTCAAGGTCCTGTCTATATATAAGGTTTATCAAAAGGAAATAATCTAGTGCGTGTCTGTTTATGACCAGTCGTACAGTCTGACCACTTAGTCCATTTCTCCTAAAAGGCAATGATTGCTTTGAATGTATCAGTTCATATTAGATTCTATCAAAGGAAGAGGAAAGCCAAAAGGTTTGTAATGTCAGCGTATCATATGTGTCTGTTGATGTGTTAACAGCACCTGTTCACATATCAACACATAACCTTGATAACCTTTGTTATTCCAGTATGAAGTCACAAATGTCAACTTCCTGTCACTCATGAAGGTGCCTCTTGAAACCATCACAGATCAGATGGTCAGGAGTTTGGTTTTGGAAAACTCAAGCTTAGATTACTAATGATTTTTAATTCTGAAAGTTTGCTTATATAAAAATAATTGCCAACTATTTTGATAACTAAATAACCATTTAAGTAATTTATGAAGCAAGCTTCTTAGGTGTGAGGATTTGCTACTTTTCTGGTCACTGCATTTGAAAACATGACCTTAGACTCTAGAAAACTGTGATGATGACAACTTTCACTCTTTTCTCACAGTTTATAGACTAATTAAACTAAAAATAACCAACAGTTTCATGAATCAATAATAAAAGTTAAAACTTTAACTTAGACCGTTGGAACACAAAACAGTTAGATCATTAATATAACCAGGCAGTTCTGTTTTAGTGAGACAGATCAACAGATAACAAGCCCATGCTTAAAGAAGCACCCCAGTAATTAGTAATTAGTCTGAAGTAGATTTTGCACATTTTCACAAATTCCTGTCAAGTGTTTCCAAAATAGACCGACTACAAAATTATGGCCTAGTGGCAGGGAGAGTATAACCCCAACTAAAGGGCCTCAGTTTGATCTCTAGTGTGTTCATGAGATAAGGTGATGTATCCTTGAGCAAGACACTGACCTGACCCCTTCCTTCACCTGGGGCACAATGACCTGGCTGACCTTGTCAGTAAAACAGAGGAGAATAGACCTCTGCAGTACTTGAATACATTATTCAATTTTATTGTCAATTATTCAAAAAGTACAATGACACAGCACTAGCCTGTATTTCAAGATATAGAACATCTAAATAAAATTTAATATGGATTCATTTAATGGAAATGCCAGTCGAGACCAGTTGAAATTATCTTCAGATATATTTGGTTTTCAGTTTTTTACCCAGATTAAATTAACTGGCTGTCCACAAATACAGAGCCATGAAGATGAAATTAAACATTCAGGCAAGCTGCAGAAGGCAGTTAACATGAAATTTGAGAAACAAACGTTCAATTTCCCATTTAAAAAAACGGTAAACCACAACAAGATGAGACGTTATGACTAATTCATGGTTTTAGTTCTTATAAAAATCAATGATAATCAGTGGGGTGATTACTACATGTGATTGTTCATTGACTTTCTCTAGATTGATATTGTATTCTGGATTGGTAGTACCTTTCTCTCCTACTTTTTCAAATCTCAGTGTGTATAAATCCTGAAAGAAAACAACATACAAACAAAAATTACATTTGAGCTATAATAATGTCTTTTAGATGGAGAATCAATCCAATCATGATATGTGACTGACTGTATGCATCCATGTGGAGGCCACTAAAAGCTTACACAGTGTGATGACACCCTTCAATTTACCTGCTGGTGAATGAAACGTCATTAGGAGACAAAGTAGGCTCCCATCTCTCTGCATCTGCTCATAGTCACAGAACAGATCTAACAACTTACACACCTCTCCTGCTTACTCATGAACTACAAAACGTTCCCATACCGTGTTGTCTTGGTTTAAACTGTGAAATGTAAAAAGGTGAAAAGATTAGCTGACTAAGCTCCCATTGGGCTATAATATCAGTCTGTGACGTCAATTATGCCTCATCTGTCTTTCTCGGAGCACCAACACAGAGCATGTTCAGTTAGAGAAGCCTCGAGTATAGCTGAGATGTGACGCAGACTTTACCTCTATTTTCCAAATGAATAACAGCTATCAATCCTAGCATCAATCAATCCTAACATCCTCTAAAACTGTGGAGAAATATATCTGTAAATGTAATAGCGGGATCCTTAAATGACTTACAGACATATGCACTACAAAAATGTCCATCACGGTTTCTTAAAGCCCACGATTTTGTGATCAAATGTCTTCTTTTGATCCAGTAAGAGGCTAAAACCCAAATATATTCAATTTACAATGATACTGCGTAAAAGAGAAAAAGCAGCAAATCATCAGACTGGCAAAGCTTGAACCGGATGGTTGTTATTCTTGTTTAATAATTGAATTACAAAATCAATTAATCAAAACAGTTCCTGACTTGTTTTCTGTTTATCAAATAATCAACTGATGAAGTAATTCTGTAATGGGGACTTGTCATTTTATGTTAAATTATTGAATATACACTGTTGAGTAAAATAATAGTTGGTGGGGAAACCTTCTGGTGGGGCACCCATTTATATATATACTGATCAGAGGTAGAGCCAGAGGATGCACATACCCTGACTCGCTGTTATGAAAGGATCATTTAATCTTGAGTCAAAGCTGCCATAATAAATAAAACAAATGCAAGAAGATTGTTCAGTGTTATTTTTTAAAAGCAGAAGTTATTAACAAAAAAAAGTAGCACTCAATATAGAGGAAGAGATAATCAATGTAAACAAAAGGCAATGAAACCAGCCACAGGCATTAATTCTGGCTGCATATCAAGCTTACAGTCATCATGCTCTGTTTGTGTCAAGCTGCTGAGCAATGCCCCTCCTTATGGGTGACCTTCAGGCCAAACAAGTCCCTGCTGGCACAAACTGACAAGGCAATGTTTGATTACAAATTCAACAGCAGGGCAAATCAGATTTTTTTCCTTTAACTGAAAGCCTACAGCACTTCATTACCTTTTTTTTTTAAAGCAACAATGTCTGTTCATACCAGGATTTCTTATGATACTAAGTAAATAATTTATTGCCCCACAATAAAAGCAGTGAGTTCAAAAGTTGCTCAAGGTTTATCAAAAACATGCCACATGTGTTATTGATGCCAACACTCTGGATTTAAATGTCCAAGACAGTGAGATGACACCAATGCATCTTTGATTTTCAACATAGTTAAGAAGTACTGCACTTTAGTAAAAGTAGTTCTTCTCATACAGAGGAGAAAAAGAATAAGTGGCAATTAGGTAGAAAAATAGCAAAAGTAAAACCTTGACTACACGTCAACAAGACCTTATTGAATCTCAAAACATGCAATAAGCAAAACCTTGAGATGGTAGGAGTAATTTGAAAAACTGAGCACATATAAAATATCTTTACACACTTAACAGTTCAAAACCTTTTCAACGGACATGGGCCTTCACGTTTGACGCCATGCAATAGCAGCTTCTCGACAATTAGTAAGCATTCAATTAGCTAGTGAAATTCAGCTCATTTTATACATCTCAAATGAAATCTGTATCCGTTAGCTTTGTTCATTATCATCATTTCGCACTGATCCTTGTTTAGACTCCACCCTGATTGTGAATCCTCAAAACTGGGTAGATTACCTTAAGGGAGCTTGCAGCATGCATAAAAACAACCCAAATAGACCAAGGGCCTCTTTGCTTTATGGTGTACAGGTTTGAGTTCAAAATCTGGCCCGGTGACGTCTTTCCAGGCTTCGATGGCCACAAGGGCAAAGTTGCAGCAATGGCTCAGCAACGCCCTTTCCAGCTAACGTTAGCTTAGCACCATAACCTACGCGTTTACTGGAGCTGTCAGTATGAGCAGACTAGATTTATGCTACCACATACACGGTCACCATACCAAAACACACAATGGGCGTTGGTCTACACCAACAAGTAGCTGAGCAACATAACTCACTGTTGAAAATAACATAACCCTTACCTGTTTCAATGTATAGGAGAATGGGGTATGCAACCCAAGTTTGATTATAGGGCTATTAGCTGTTATTCACCAATACAAGGCAGCCCTGTTTTAAACTTATAGTAAAACATATTCGCACAAATTAAACGATTTCCAACACAGTCAAGGCTTATTTAAGAATAGCATTTGATTTATGCATTTTCTAACATAATATTTGCAGCCCCGGCTGTAGAAAACATGGCAGCAAATTGACAGCACATTAGTTAGCCGGCTAACGTAACACGTTAGCTCGTCCCCACAGAACTTCCATAAATAGCCGTAGCTAACGTTAGACAAATGTTCAGCTAGGTTTCACAACAAGTGTCTCAATACAAGTCACGCGTTGACCGAGAAGCGCAAATTTGGTTTTAAGATGACAATCACATTCAGCATAGTTGAGTGATACCACCGTTAGATTATTTTAGCTTTCAGTCTCAAAATCGATGCTCTTGTGAATGCCAACTTTGCCACTTAGCTTAGCTTAGCTTAGCTTTCGGCCTCTCCGCCATTTTGAGATCGGAACGGTAGAGCGCAGACACTGCAGGCAATTCGTCGTCAAAAATAACAAGTCTTTTTAAGTGCCAAACAACAATACAGACGCGTGTAAGAACTACGAACTTACCTACTGACAAATGGTGATACTCATATCCCCTTGAGTGGTCAGAACTTGCGACGGAAAAGCCTGGTTTTGATGTGGTATTGTGACTTTTCACATCACCTGGCACGGCCGCTCAGATTTCTCTCCTCTTTGGTACCACCGCATTCGCCCGGCCCCAGCTAACGGTCGCGATTGGATATCGGTCGCGCGCACGTAGAGGTGAGCGGGGGCGCGCAGCGTGCACCTCCGCAAGCTTGTAATTAAAGGAAAACACACTATAATTTTTAAGTTATATGCGTTATTTTTATTACTATGACTATGTACACAATTTAGAATATGAACAATTTTAATAGTAAATAATATGTTTTTCTTTGAGATGAGCAGCAGAAGGACAGACTGGCCTAGTGATGATGACGAATCATGCAGCTGCTACATAGATGGTGAATAATGGGATGGTGAATAATGGAAGAACTCCCAGGAAACTATAACACTTCAAATAATTTTACACCAACTATTTGAATACATTTTCAGATTAACAGTTGTAAGCCATACAGTGAAATAACAGTTTCTTCGGAAATATCTAAAATGAATTCACTAAGCTCACAGTCAATGATACATTCTATGTCTGTGGACCAATTCCAGAAAATGTCACGTGATATAACAATAATGTAACAAATCATAACAATACCAGTTCAAACTGTAATGCTTTGATTTCCATCTTATGCCATTTATAAACCACTAATCTGACATGTTCTCATAGAATCTAGAACAATTTCTAAGATTATTATTGTTTCCCCACAGTCACCTGGATATTAATGACAACAATGTGTATTAAGGTGTAATGGGCTGCTAGTACACATCCAAAACACTCATAGAGATAATTTTAATATTCAGGCATAGACACATTTTCTGTCATGTTCTGAGAAGTGTTCATGGCTCAAGTGTGAAACCCGGTGGACACACAGGGAATTGCAAGAAGATATCAACAAAAATGTAAGAAATTTGGACTTTTAGTTCATAGATGCTATATTATTTTCTCAGTGGAAGTAGGCCCAGAAATACTGTGCTTTTCCAGTAATCTAGCAGTTTAATCCTTCATTTTATTTAGAGTCTAGGGTTTATGCATTTCTGTGACAAAAAGGATGAGAGTTATGTATTTGCCATCAAAGTTATAGCCTCCAGGGTTCATTCATGGATTCCATATATTTCAACAAACCCTATATCCTGGTTAGCTTGAATAAGATAAGGCTCTTTTCGACATCCAGTCCTTCACAGACAACTGCAGAACAAACTGTCTACACCTGTCTGTGCCTATACTGTAGTTGTTGTCCAAAGTAGGCTAACCAACTTATTAACACCAGCCATGTGCCTGGCTCTCCTTGGCCATTGTTGCTCATTGTCTGTGGTCATTTACAGAAGTCTGGCAGGAGATTGTAATTGTCCATAGTTCAGTGTAGTTGTCCTTTGTGTGCAGTTCTGCAGTCTTTTTGCTTTAATAACAGATTTTCCAGCTCTTCCACTTGAAGCTTTTCCTTTCCTTTGATCTCAGTCCTCAGGTCTGCAACTTCTTTTGCACTACAGAGAAATACATAATATGTAAAGTACTGCAAATGTGAGGATGACTTTCATCAGAATAATCAGCAGGTGAGGTTATCATTACAATCGCATTATTGATGCCATAACTGAGAGTGCTTTACTGTTCACCTGAGGGGGATGAGAATGATTCCACATGTCAGGTTGAGCTGCTGAAGGATTGCAGGAAGGCTCGGAGTGGAAAACTGGAGAGAAACACAGATGAGATAAAGTGTCACACAACCAGAAATGGGCGTAATACTTATGGAAATGGACTTAACAAACAATACAAACCTTTGGAGGTGGAATACAGGCACTAGGTGTGTTACTGTAGATATGGTTGATGGCTTTCTGAAGGACCACAGCCTGCTGAGTGAGGCTCTTCAGGTATTCTGAGCTTTCCTTCGTACTGTCATGGTTCTCACCAACCTTCATATGTGCAAAAATGAAGTCTCTCAGTTAGAATGACGAGCATATCAGCATAACACTAGCAAACATGGTATTGCAGCATTTTAAAACACACCTGGCTCTTATATATTGAATAAGCCTCTTTCTCGTGTTGCAGAGCTGATCGAAACTCTCCTTTGGTCTCGTAAACGGTGGCGAGCAGATGATGACTGCACAGAAGACAGACAGGGAGAGGCAGAGAGGTAATATTAATTAAATGAAGGAAGGGAACAATGAATGCATAGGACGATCCCAGAAACTTATATTTCAAAGCATATTGAGCTTTTTCTATAATCATTATGTGTTTATATCTGTGTGTTTTGTTTGTCTTTCCATTTGCTTCTGAACATAAGAATGTAAAGAAAAACAGAGGAACATGACGATAAACTTGTAATGTTACCTGTGTGCGTGCCTCAGGGATGTGGCACCGCGGTATTTCGAGGTTAAATTTAAGGCATTCTGTAGGAACTTCAGGGAAAGCTCATACTCCATCAGCCCGTGAAGCACTAGACCCAGCATACTCTGATGTCGTGGAGCACATCAGGGACGTTAATAGATCATTTCAAACACACAAATAAGATGTGATTATATCTTCTAGCATGAATAAAAGTGACTGCATGTAGAAGCCTTGCACCGAAAGTTACTCTCTCATGGTTGGATTCAGAGTTTTCCTACGATGTGCTTCAAGTTGTCTATTGCCTATTTGCATTTTCTTGTATTTTCTCTCACTTACCCTTTCTTGTTTGTTTGCAAAAAGTCTTTCCTTATGTTTTATTCAACACTAGGTCTTGATCCAACATTTTAATAATCCTATAAAGTCTCCCTAACAGTACTTAAAGGCCTTTTTTTCTTTCAATTTGTTCCTTATTTTCAAACTTTCTTAACTAACCAAATAAAGCACTGACTAAAGAATGTATATAAACTCCCTTTAATGTCTAGAACTGACTGATAACATCAAATTTATTTAGAGAATGCAACACTTCGCAGATGAGGTCTCACTTACATCCAGCAGTGCGACTTGCGGATGGTCTTCTCCACTCACAAGCAGGGTGAGGTACCGAGCACGATACAGCAGCTGCAGAGAGGTCAAATGCTGGCCTCCGGCAAAGCAGTACAGTGCCAGATAAGTCTGAATCACAGATAGGAGAATACTGTCACATGAGGATACAAGTATTAGATAATACATTAATAGAGTTAAGTGAGAGGTTTTTAAAAGAAAATCAATGTGTCAGTGGATCGCTGAGAAGGTGAAGGAACTCACATAGTCTTGTATGGTCTGTGGATGGTCTATACCTTGGACTCTCTCACTGCTCATAACAGCCTTTTCCTGGTGGCTGAGAGCCTGGGAGACACGGAGAGACAATTCTTTATGAAAGCTCACAGATGTTCATTTTTCCCTGTTTGTATTAAAATAGTCAAAGAGCAAATGACAGCTTTAAAAAAAACTTGATATGTGGGTAATTATTCACAAGTCTGGAACCAAGGTAGATAAAAGGTCATGACATAAATTGTAATGCATATTTACATCTGCATATTCCCCCAAGATGTAGCTGAGCCGTCCCAGGAGACGCAGGCACATGCACACATCCTCATGTAGGACCCCACATACGCTGCTGAACAGAGTCAGGGCTTGGCTGATCAATTCATAGCCCTCTTTGAGAAGCCCTAAAAGCAAACATAAAACACCAATGATGAGCACCGAATGCACCTACATTAATGATATCTTCTCTTCACGTGAAGTACACTGAATCCAGGGGATTTTACCTTTCAGCAAATCCAAATCTGAGAGATCAGTGTTGCATGGATGCATGATCTGTGTTTTAGAGGCTGATATTTCATACCTTTGTGTTAAATTCCACGGTAACATAAGAAGAGCAAATTTTGAATGCGCCACTGATGGGGTATCCACAAACTTACATCTTAAAGAAGGGTACATTGCCATTTTTAAGTCGACTGGTGAATTGTGAAGTTCAGCCGAAGCTAATATCGACCGTCTACGTTGGTCAAATCAACTAGATATCTTCCGAAGTTACAGTGTTTAGTACAAATTTCCCTCTTTGTGCTTCAAGTGTTTGGATTTTTTTCCTGTAAAGAATGTAAAGTGTATATCAGGTGATATATGCTGAATGGATTGATTGATTGATTGATTGATTGATTGATTGATTGATTGATTGATTGACTTTATTGTCAACCTCACTGGAAATTTGTCTTTGGCTTCTCCCAAAGAAAGTACAATAAAAATACATACAATCAGCTCAACAAAACACACCATTAATAACATACAACAAGTACACCATACGATACTACAATAGTAATGGATCTTTCAGTTAAGGTTTAGTTACTTTAGTTAAATGTAAACACATTTACTGTATTTTATGTAGTTGTAAGTGTTTGCACTTGTGTCTGCGTCTCTCACCCTGCTGTACTGCCACCTGTGCCTGTTGCACAAGCTGTGTGGCATCTGTTGCTGAAGGTTTGAGATGTTTGACCACAGGGAACATGTTGACGACATCTTCCTCACCGAACACCGGCCTGTGTCGAGACTCAAACACATACTCCCTCAGCTGTACCTAAATACAGAGAAAAGGAAGAAGGGGCAGAAGGGAAACAGCTGCATTTTGATTTCAGGTTTTTTACGTGGTTTGATTCTTGGCTCCTCCAGCCCACACGTTGAAGTGTCCTTGGGCAAGATATTAAACCCCAAACTGCCCTCGATGTATCATTGGTGTGTGAGTGATACAAAAAGGCCTGTGTGATATGGAAAAAAAACGCTGTATGATTGGGTGACTGTGGCTCTGAGGGGTCGATAAAACTAGAAAAGTGCAAAGTAACTGCAGTCCATTTACCATTCACTATTTCTCTCGCTAGTCCCTATTGCCCACCTTGTTGGAGCCAAGAAAATGTCCTGCCTGTGACAGCTAGGTCAAGTAAAGCAGTATCAGTTGCAACTTTCTCTTTTGCAGCTTCAGATATAATTATAATGATACAAAATGTGTGCTTTCACTTGCAGTTCCTAGAGCAGCTTTAAGATAGACAGAACATTTAATTTAACATGAAGAGAAGCATGGTAGATATCTGACCTGGATGCCCGTCTTGATGGCAATCTCTCTCAGGAGGGAGATCCTCTGAAGGCCGTGCTTTTCTATTACTTCAT